TATTCTTAGAAGCTTTCTAATCTCTCTAGGTCGAAATTCTAGACTTTTTTCGCTTTCTTCCTACCTCGTAGGTATCTAGCTACTCTATACTTTACTAGTATAGCCGAAGCTATCTATTTCTACCTACGACTATATAGAGGTATATAATAGGACTTCGTAGGCCTTAACTTATAATAATTCTATAAAGTAATCGGTATAATCTTATAGAATAACTATTCGCTTAATTTAAGGTAGTAGTAGAAGTAGTAAAGATAGAAATATAGTAGAAGAATCGTTATACTAATTACTATAATTAGAAGCTATTTAATTAATTCTTTAGGCACTTATAACGCTTATTCTAATAATACTAGCTACCTCTAACACCTCCATAATAATTAGAGGCAGCGATTGAGGTGTAACTACCGCTAAGAGGCTAAACTACATCAAGCATAGCGATATAGTGGCTGCAGGGTAAAGTAATTTGAGTTCACGCGTTGAAAGACAGCAAAGGGATCATTACACTCCCTCTTCGGTGGCTTCGAATTCGTCGCATCACCAGTTGCGCCCGCTAGCTCTTACTGGCCAGGCTATTTGCTTTTCACTCCACGCTCTCTGGCATGCTGCGGCGGACCTCCCGAGCTCTCCGCCGCTTCAACAGCATAGGCTCGTCGGAGCCTAGCCGCTTGTTATCATAAGAGCTTACATTCCAAAGCTATCTTCCAGTTTTTTCGGAGTGCAAGATGTTCCTCTGCTTGCGAGCTTCTCTACGGCTAGAGTGGCGGCTGCAGAGACACGCATGAGAAACATCGACCATCGCGCCGGCAAATCTGTCGAATCGCCAGAAGGCATCTAGTCCTCATATGCTTGGAGGGAGGTCTCTGCTCCTCAGCACAGCGAACAACCATGTGAGAGTCGCAGGAGGCAGAATCATTTTTTGGTTTCGGCTTCCTTACTTCTATGGAGAAAAGTCTGGATGCGCTCTATTCTTCTGGCTTAGCGAAGAGGCATGCTTGGACCCGCAGATAACACTCCTACTCATGTCATCAGTTCTTCTACCTGCCACCGCCGAAATTTGGGGCAAAATTTGGAGATTTCCAAAAGAGTTCGAGGATAGTACGCGTCCAGCAAGCAAAACGGAAACCAGAATTGAGACTCCGTACTCCTCTATCCATGGAACTCGAGTGCTCTTCGGTCCTCGTACCTCCGCCTTGTGCAGCGTAACTGAGGCGCTCTGTCTCGACAAGCGAGGCAGATGCGGAACGCAGTTGACGAGAGAAATCACAAAGTGAGCGTATTTCCCAGCGTGTGTCTTGCTGTCCGCAACTAGGCGTCCTGGCGGTTGGTCTTGGCGACGGCTGAGGCCAGAACGTGGACGACATCTCTCGGCGCGAACATTGCCCCCTTCGGCATCTCTCAGCGATGCATAGTGGTTGAACTTGTCCGAACGATGACGCGATCTCTGCTGAAGGGTCTCTGCATCGTGGAGGCTTTTGTCTCAAGGTACATGTCCTATCCCACCGCTTGCGCCGGAGAACATGCTCTCACGATCGACAATACTGTCATGCAGGATTGCGCAGGAGAGTATCGAGTTCAATAGGGTATCGATAGAGCTAATGCCACAGGTGCTACTGGATTGTTCGTTCTCAGCGTAATGTTGTAGCATTTGTGTCTGTTGATGAGCTGACGCAGCTCAGAGTCGTGGCCGTTCCAGCCTTCCTCCTTTAGGAACCGCATAGACATTCGCAGCCGGCAGCCCTAACACAAATTACTGTTCACCGGAAGTCTCCAGTCTCCAGCGCCTGTTCTCAATATGGCATGTGCATAACTACCAGTTCCCTTGCTCGCACGAGCGCTCACTGCTCGAGCAGCACGGCGCCCAGCTCTAAATCTGGTGAGCTTTCGGCACCGAACGCCTCGAACGCTATAGTAGTGAAGCCTTGCCTCTTCTCAACAGTGCTAGATGTGGCCTTGCAAGCCAGCGTCAAGCCTCTTTGCGCCGTTGAAAAAGCTTCCACAGAAGGTCACAGAGGCTGAAAGCTCATGCCACTCGTGGCTTGCCCCAGATATTCGCTAGACTTCAAGGCTCACCAAGTGCTGTTCTGCCGTAAGAGCTCAACATATCGGCGCAAGCTACAAAGTGCATGAGACGGGAAATGCGAACACTGCTAGTGTGATATGAACACGGGTACGATCTGATGATACACGTGTTGATCGTTTGGCACACGACTCGTTCATGCCTCATAGTCGTCATTGCGCTTTGATAGTAGTTTTAGCCCCAAGAATGCACGCCTGACGATGGAGATCCTTCAAAACCCCGCCGCCATCTGCGCTTTTCATTCACCGTTTTGGGAAAATCGAAGCCACACGTTCTTAGCTTTGCGCATTGCACTATACTAGTATGCATGACTGCTCTTTCTTCGCGCAAGTCTTGCCCCATGTGACACCACGGCATCCGTTTCCGACAACAAGCAATCACGCCGCGTCGGGACCCCTCAGCGGTGAAGCAAGATTGACTTCTTGGATCGTGCAGCGGCGAGGAGAGATTGTGACTTTCCTTTCGCTGCTATTAGCCCATGGCGTCCACACTCGCAAGATCGATACCACTACCGTCGATCTCGCAGTCCACTTGTCTGAAGACCGGCCTTGGTCCTTCGTTTACCGTTTTCCGTCTGTGTGCAGTCACGCACGGCCATGTTGCTTTTTGAAAGCGAACGACATCGTGCTCTTTGGGTGCCGATGGAACCGCGACAGCGCAAATTATAGGCCGGCGCATTTCGAGATTCTGGACGAAGCACTTCGCTGCAACGTAAACGCTGAGCGTTCATATTTAGTGAGCGACAAATCGTGCGTTCGATGAACACAGCTTCTGCGAGTTCGTTGGCATACAGTGCCCTTTCGTTGCGAATTTCGTTGTTCTGAGGTCGTGCCCAGCTGATCGAGAGGGACAGACCTCTCGAAGCATCGTGGGCACGACGAGGCGCACCGGCCGTAGGCGCAATTGCGTCTGCACGCGCATGTCCATATCTTTCATGTGTCCACGGGGTGGAATAGGTGCCATCCATGGCACGTCTCTACGTGTCTCTGACTGGAACTTCGCTCTTTCTCATCCACGCTCGTACTTTCCCCGGAGCACCTGCTCTGCTGCAGACATCCCATAGGCGCTGCTTGAATCAAACATGTCGCCGGAGTTAGATACGGGCGCGCTGCTGACGGGCATCCCACTGTATTGTTGCATTTCCGCGTGGTAACTTGTGACCGGTGCAAAAGGTGGCCCATTTGGGCTCAACGGACTCCCAAATGGTGTGCTGTCGTGGCTGTTCTGCGCGCTAGAATGACTTCCATCATACGCCTCCTCGCTCCTGAGACTGGGCGGCACCGCGCTCGGAATTGCGTATCCAGGGACATTTGGCATAGTGTCGTTGATCTTCTGCATCAGTAGAGGCATGTACCTCTGTTGTCCACCTCTGAGCGTGCTGATCAACGTCATCAGCTGATTCAGATAGTCTCGTGGGCCGAACTCGAAGGTGTATTGCTCATGTGGTATTACAGACATCACGTCTGTCAGGGTGCATGCGACATCGAACAGTTTTTCCACAAGCCCAATGCCATGCACCTCCATTGCAGATTGCGTGAACTGCGACGTCGACTGAACCAGGTCGCGAGAGACTTCTATGGGATATTTGAAGCTCATGGCGTGATCTGCTGCCGCCGACGATAAAAAGCCATGGCTGATGGAGAGCTGCCATACCATGGTCCGAAGCCACTGTTGCGAGCACCGCAAGTCGACAGCCTGTGTTTCCGTACACGAGAGGTACGTTGGCAAAGCATCTGAAAGCTGTTGTTGCAATCGTGCAAGCCACTCGGTTGTACATCCCACCCGGGCCTTGTTCCAGAGACCTACAAAGGTATCATCAAATGGTCGGAATAGGTTTACCAAATGAATGAAACCGTTCAGCTCGACCGTTTCAGCCGGGTCCTCGTCCAGGGTCGGAAGGTTGATGGTCGCGTGCAGAGTCAGCGGTTTGTGTTGCTGCAGCGCATAAGCACGTTCCGTCACAAACAGGAGCCAGTACAATCGTCTCATCCGTGAGCTCTCAATGATGTCCGTGGACTGGTAGTTCACCTCCTCGTGCATTCCCATGATCTGTGCCAGTGTCGTCGCCTCCCGCAAGTGGAACCATGCTGTATTGTGTCGGTCCAGGCAGAAATAGCTGCCGAAGAAAAAGAACGAAGTAATGACCGACCACACCGTTGGGTTCTCGATGTAGTTGCAGCCTTTGCGCACTCGTAGGGCCTCCTGTAGCAACGCGTGGCCTAGCTGCAAGCTCGGTTGCGGTGCGATTTCCAGTCCATCGAAGGCATCGGGTGGCATGACCATGTTCGGTTGAATCATCATGTAGGCGCATAATGATACTACAAGGCAGTATGCTTCGGCGCTGGTTTCCATCTGGCCAATGGTCTCGCCCACCTTCTGACGATGGAGGATGGGCTGTGTGGGATACATGTGAACGAAATAGTAGTCGACGCAAGTCGTGATCATCTTCATCGACAGCAAGCCAGCCTTCCTCAGATGGGCCGGCGAGTGAGGTGGGCTCTCAAAATCCAGGCCATGTCGTCTCGCCGCCAGTTGTGACTGTCGCTGAGTCTCTCGAAGCTCAGAGATCACCTTCGCCCTCGACCCCTTCGGGCCCTTCTTCCTTGATGGATGTCAGTAGGAGTGCCTCGAGTGTGGCAACGCGAGAACGTACTGAGGGATGGCATTGTAGGTACACGTGAGACCGGCAGACGTGCAGTTCTTACATGGCCGCGTGCCGTCCCCAATGCACTTGACCTTCCTTCGATGGCAGGCGTCGCAAGCTCGTTTCGCGGTCGTGGGTAGTGGCGCTGCAGAGGAGGATGACGACTCGGGCATGTTCCCAGCGTGCTTGAGCCCTCTCGAGGAGACAGACACCTCTACAGGGCCGTTCAGTGTGGAGATCAGCATGAGCACTCGGACATGTAATAAGCAGCAGGATGCACAAGGTTTAATGTGACGGCCTGGTGCACGCGCGAGGACGTAGGGTAGCGATGGTATTTCCCCGCGCCTCACAGGGTCATTGGTCGTGCCGTGCGGCGCCTAGAACGAAGACTGAGAGAGGTCCAATAAGAGAGGGGTGATCTGGAGGGTGTAGGATGAAGAGACACGCCAGACGAGAGATGGCAGACGGGCTGGACAGGCCGGCGCCGGAGGGCTTGCGCATGTTGACATGGCAGAAAGAGCGAGCATCCCAACGCAGTCCCCACCCACCAGTAGTTACGGTATGCACGTTGACCATAGGGACGGAGCGCTGCAGGAAGCTTAGAGAACGTCAAGACGCCATGACGCTATGCGGCGTGGTCGAAGCGTGCATGCGCCAGGGCACTCGGCGGCGCGAGCGCTGCAGAGACTTTTTTTCCTGGGCATCGTCCAGCGCCCGCCTGTAGCCGGCTGGTGCGAGGCGTTTCCCGCGATGGGCGAATCACAGCGCCGCTCGCTGCCTGGTGCGTCCAGCTTGAGAAGCTCAAGGCGAAACTACCGGCGGGCGTGGCCGCGCTCAGATTGACGAGGTGCTAGCCATCGTAGGGCTGCAGCAATGGCTTGCATAAGCCGCTCATCTTTCGGCCCGAAGTCGTCTCTGCGGCGGCCGCATCGCTGTCGCTGGAGTCCCAACGGCGAAACTGACGCGTTTGGGAGTGGCCTGGCGTGCGGTGAATTTGCAACCCCTTCGGGCTCCAGCTGGACTGTCGTCGAGAACCGTGGCAGCTTCTACCATGGAGTACTGTGCGAGTCGTCGCTGTTCAGATCACGCCGCGCTGTGCTCACCTGTCGCCGCCGGGCCTGGAGGGTTGGGACTGGCGCTGCTGTTTGAAGTTTTCGCTGGGAAAAAAACAGTGGATCGTTCGTACGAGAAGCATCGGTGACGAAGCCCGATCTCGCCATGCAGCGCTGCGCCTTCCACGGGCTACGCAGGGGGTCCTGTCGTGGATGGGATCGATGGTGGGTGGCCTCGCAGAAAGGGAGTTGGAGGGCCTTCGTGACTGCGGGAGTCGGGGTGGTGCTGTTATATGTCCTGGCGGCGCCATCAGGCCAAGGACGACCGGGTGAATGCTGTGTCGTGCCTGATTGCAACAGAGCCTTTCGGCGTGTTTACGGCGGCATCAGGGCGAGGACGAGGGACGGACGGGATGGCGGTGGCCACATGCTGACCGTGCCATCACAGCCCTCGTCTCGTTTTCGGCGTCATTCTGACACCCAGTGCCGGTCTTGGCAAGCATTGGAACTTCGACGTTCGCAGCTCTGCCAAAACGGCTCGAATGCGAGCATGTCGCGTGATGGACGAGGGTCGGGCAGAGCGCATGCGAAAGCAGATGAGGTGCATGTGCGATTAAATACTACAAGACGCACGTGCGGGCGGAAGCGCCACCGCTATACCGCCGTCGACCCTCCTGCTACCTGTGGACTCGGCATGTGGATGAACCGATGTTGGGCACCATACAGCCTGAATCCGCCTTCTACTTGTCCGAATCACCGCAAAGAGAGCTAATTAGTGCTGTGCTTAGACTCCTTGATTACTATTGCCTGGCGTGGCCAGCAGCTTCACTTGCTTAAGCTGCTATCCAGCCTCCAAGCCCCTCGTCATGTGGAGTCTATCATCGAAGCCTCATACAAATCGGTTTCATTTGCACCATCGTATTTGGAGTCTGGAAAGAGTGAACGCCTACAGACTGCTCCGTCTGTACAGAGGCATGTGAGCCAGGAGAGCTGCAGACTATGAGTTGTAGCTTTGGTCGAGATATCACAGACGGCACCGTCGTTGCCTCTCGTCTGCAGCCGGCTGGTGGTGCACTAATATTATTCTTCCTCACAACTCGTCATCGTCACCTATCAATTTCGCATAGTCTTCAGCACTTGCGAACACCGGTAAGCTCTTGAGCTTCTTCTTCTCCGCCCTCTTCTTCTTGTTCCTGGCAGCATTCGTTTCTGCCTGGTCTGAATCCTCCCCGCCAAAGCCATCGAACGGTATCTCATCGTCGTCTCCCAACATGGCATCCTCGTCGTCATCGTCCAAGTCTGGCATCGCATCGCTGCCGAGGTCCTCGTCGTCAGACTGCTCACCCGCGAAACCATCCATATCGGCGAAAGCGTCCAGGTCCGCGGCTTCCTCCCCATCTTCACCGCCGAGATCGATGCCGCCCTCTGACTCGTCATCGTCACTGCCACCCGACAAGCTCTCGAGATCGCCCATTGACAAGTCATCATCAGATCCCGGCCCTTCGACTTCTGGTCGGGAATTCGCGATTGCTTCCCAGATTTGATCTTCCATTGCATCTTCATCCTCGCTGTCCTCAGGACCACGTTGCTTCTTCTCCTTGGCCGGCTTCTTCTTCGCATTGCCGGCAGCATTGAAGTAGTTGTGAAAGAAGACCTCATCGGCGGCCACGTCATCCACCTTCTTGGCCCAGAATGCTTCGTTATTAAGTGGTGCTCTCTGGCTGGGATCACCAGGTTTGACGAGAAGGTCAGCAGCTTTGGCACCTGCAAGCGGTTGCATGATCGAACTGCCGTGCGCCTTCTCTTGCTTCGTCTTGGGATTGCGATACACGAACCGATCAAGGAAGTGCATGAGTGTATGTTGAGTCGGATCTGGCTTAGGCGGCATCTCCTTGGTTCCGTGCACAGCCTCTGCGAAGAGCGTGACGGAAGGATGAAAATGGCGTAAGAGAGGCAAAATATCCCAAAGACAGGTCCGTTCAGCTTGCGCATGCTCAGGGTTACGTTTTCGAGGGTCGTAGAGAACTTTGTGATCGGCCGATGTTGAGGCATTCGGATTGTGATCTCCCTCTTCAGGCACGTCGACGAAATGCTCCTCTTCATCTTCGTCAGCAACTTCAGGCTCCGTGATCATCTTCCGTATGCTGGGAAAGGTGACCTCGAGCTCGTGGATAAGGTACAGCACGCCGCAGGCGAAAGCTGGTTCGTGCATGGTAATGATTTGGAGCATGCGCTTAACGAAAGCTTGCACACGCTTGGCGTTAAGATCCGACTTGAGGCTCTTGTACAAGAGGTTGAGGTACATGACCTGCTTGCTACTGTTGAACAGGCGAGGATCAAGCAGGCTTTCGTACAATGTGCGGTAGAACCTGTCCGCACCCAGATGCTTCCTCGACGAGATCTGCTGCAACAACATAAGCGCTTGCACGCTGGTATTGAAGTTGGCCGAATGAGCAACGCGAAAGACAGTATCCAGCTGCTTTTCAAAATGGGGGTCGCTCGTGTCTGCGAAGGCAAACGCACGATTGACACCCGCCAGGACTTGAGAGATCATTTTATCGTGGAACTGCACAGCGGCCTCTTCTTTCTTTTCTTCAGCTTTGCGCTTTTTTGCAGCCATCTTGCCCGCCTTGCCGCCTCCACCTTGTGTCTTTCCGTTGATTGATGCGATGTCCAGGCCCAACTTCTTTGCCTCGGTCGGCTTTAGCAACTGGACGAATAGACCGAAGTAGATGTCGAGTAGCCGATTTGCCAAGTCCTCATCCTTGCGACTCAGAATTGTCTGATTCAAAGTGATAATGGCATAGTACTTGGCGTGGTCACTCTGTCCAGGCCGGTACAGACAATCTGCTTCGATGGAGTTCGTGATAATGAGCTTCATGGCAGGATGGGTATTTTCGAGTTGGAGCAGTAGATGCGACGCTCGCGAAGCAACCTTTCGTTCTGTATCCCCAAGCTTATTCACCAGCAACCGCAGCAAGTTCTCCTCCTGCTCCGGCTTGTCCTTGAGCAATTCCCAGATGTAGGTCAATGCTCGTTGTCGCGAATACTCAATCTCATCGTTGCACCATGTCTCCAGTATCGCGAGCAGCTCAAAGTATTTCTTCTTCAGCCAATCCTCAAACGCCCACATGACCAAATGCTCCTTTTGAAGACCTCCGGGCAGAGGGTCGCCATTGTTCCACCTCGCATCCTTCCCTTGTAGCGCAGCAAGAAGTCCCTGTTGCTTGCCGAACGGCCTCAGCTTGCGGTTGCTGGGCAGTACATTTCCCTGCCCCAGCATGTCCTTCAACGCCGCGACAGCCATCAAAGCCTGGTTCCTGCTCTTTTTCCGTGATAGGTTCAAAAGGTTGTCGAACGCCTTCATTGTATGTAGCGGCGATTCTTGCACCAGCAGTGTCAAGGCCGAGACTTTGTCCTCCAGCGTTCCGCTTGCCATGATGGTCGACAAGAACTTGTGCGAGGACGACCCGGTGAGGTGGCCATCGTTGTACGCGGTGTTCTCGGCTTCCAGTAGCGCAGTGGCATACTGCAGAAGGTTTTCGATCGTTCGTTGCGATGGCAAGTCTTTGGCCTCGCGAGCTTCAAGCGGCGGCAGTTCTGCAGCATGCCAGTCTGGCCGAGGAGGGAAGAGCAGAGCGGGCTTGTCTTCCTTCTTTGCCCGCTCTTGGCGGGGCTTTTTCTGGGGTCGCCCATCGTCTCGCTTCGCTCGCGGATCGTGGTCGAACGACTTTCGTTTGGCGCTCATGTTGACGAGTGGTGCAGGAGCTGAGTTTCTTCGTTCAGCCGACAGCTCAAGACCTCGAGACTTTTTCGAGATGGACGTCGGCGCGGATAAACCTGCATGCCGAGACGCGAACCTCGCGACACTTCCGAGCCGACCTACTTGCAGACAACAAAACGGGGATTCGATCTCTCATCGGGGCTTCAATCACACGCCTGCCTCGCTTTTCGATCTGGAGTGCCTCGAAGACGTTACGCAAGGCAGAGAGCAGAGAAGCAGTGTTGTTCCCGATTTCTGTCTTTACAGCCTCATGAACGGTCACTGCCTATTGCGCTGAAGCATCTCTAAATGTCCGCAGTCCGTCTGCGGATCTGCACATTATGGCGGACTGCTCCTTCCCAAACTGTCCGCGTCCGGACTACATCAAGGCGCACAATTCACGTAGGCTGGCCATCTCTCTATCGCCGAGCGCAGCAGGCTAAGCAGGACGCAGGTTGATGGACGCAACCGCTTGAGCTATTTCTGGACGCCCACCCAGGCCCCGAAGAAGGGGATCAATGAAGCTGTTGGTGAAGATGGCCACGACCTGCTCATCCGAGCCGGCTTCCTGCGTCAAGCCCAATCTGGCATTTTCCACCTTTTGCCCCTTGGTCTGCGCGTGTTAGACAAGGTCGAGCATATGATCGACAAGCACATGCAGAGTGTCGGAGCGGCAAAGGTCTCATTATCTTCCTTGTCATCGACAGATTTGTGGGAGAAGTCTGGTCGGCTGGATGGTCGCGACAAAGAATTGTTCCAACTCCGGGATCGTAAGGACGCCAAGTTCCTGCTTGCGCCGACGCACGAGGAAGAAATCACTACCATTGTCAAAAACGCAGTGCATTCTTACAAGGACCTACCACTTCGGCTATATCAGATCACGCGTAAGTATCGCGATGAAGCACGTCCTCGTCAAGGGCTCCTCCGTGGACGAGAGTTTGTGATGAAAGACCTGTACACGTTCGACCTCACTTCCGAACAAGCCATGCAGACGTACGATGCTGTTTCGGAAGCTTACAGAGCTTTCCTGACCGAGCTCAATTTGCCATTTCTCGTCGCCACTGCAGATTCCGGCAACATGGGCGGAACACACAGTCACGAGTACCACTTCGCTTCACCCAGAGGAGAGGATACCATTGTCAAATGCGGCAATTGTGACTTGTCAATGAATGAGGAAGTGTGTTTTGCAAAGTACCAGCCGCAACAATCCAGCATTGAGTATGCCTGTACACTATGGACGGGCAGGACTACAGAGACACGGAATGGTCGCGCTCGAACGGCGAGTATCGTGAACGTCTACCTGCCGCAAGGGGACTACGAACTAAACATCCATGCGCTCAAGAAACTCGTTCCGGACCTCGATACGTCCCCATTCAGCGTACAGGACTGGCACGAAGAAAGCAGCGATTTTCTCTCGGAAGGCGAAATGGAGATGCCAGCTATCATTTCCATACGGGACCCACGAGTGCTCGAAGAACATATCACGGATGACACAGCAGATGGCGAAATCCTGTCAGCTCCATTCCTCCTGACCAAACAGCGCGAAGGGGACCAATGCCCAAAGTGCGACTCTCCGTCAATACAACTGCACAAAGCTGTCGAGATAGGACACACGTTCCATCTCGGAACACGATACAGCAAGCCACTCGAAGCTGCCGTACAAGCAGAAGACAACACTCAGGTCGACATCGAGATGGGTTGTCATGGCATCGGTGTTTCACGATTAATCGGCGCCGCAGCGTCTCTTCTCGCAGACCAACGTGGGCTGAATTGGCCGCTCGCCATCGCACCGTTCAGTACTGTCATCGTAGGAGCAGGCAAGACACCTCCCGAAGACACTCGCGAAGTCTACGACACGCTGATGAAGGGCCTGCTATCTCAATTTCTATCAGGCCCGAGGGAACGTGCAGCCCCTCCGGATGCGGTGATAGATGACAGGGACCGACCATTCGGCTGGAAGCTCAACGATGCAGATCTTGTGGGCTACCCATTCATCATTGTGCTGGGGAAGGCATGGGGCAGCGAACGAGCAGTCGAGTTGCAGTGTCGAAGGCTCGGCGTGAAAGAAAATGTGCCAGTTGCGCAGTTGCCACAGAGGATCGCAGAGTACTGCGAGAAACTGTGAGTGTACAGTACTATGTATGATACGTAAGCACTCTTCGGATGTGGACCTTTCACCACTTTCCAGTCCGTCTCCAAGCGAATCTCTGCGGTACCGCGACACGAATGTCTCAGCTCGTGAGCAGTGAGCCTGCCATATTCCTGGAGAGACAGGTGCTCCATACCGGAAAATGAGCAGGTGAGCAGCATAACGCACCTGTTATGAACCAGGATCTTTAGTCATCCTCCAATAGGCTACTCGCAGCATCGCAATATCCACCCCAGTGAATACAAGCTCTTTCCCAGATTGGGCCTCACCGTGACAGCCGCCAACAAGACGCTAATGGCGCCACCTCCACACGTTCGCCATTCCATCCATGTCACAGCGATCAGATCTATGCGGAGACCTGATAGCTAAGATGATATGCGGAATCCGCAGTAGTTGCAGGAGCCCATCGTGAGCAGAACGAAAATCGGTGACAATTCATGCAGCGTCCTCAATTGCACTGTGCTGCTCAAATCGCTCGACCACAACTCCTAGCCAGCAGTCTGTCCACAATAAGAGAGAAGACTATGCGCCGTGGCCTCTCGAAATTGGGCATCAACGACCCAGGGTCAGCAAGCACCACACGAGCTCTTACGCGTCATACGAGGGCTGGCACAGCCACATCAACAAGTCTCTGTCTCCGCACCAACACGAGGTCGTAGCATCAGAGCGGTCTGCGACAGGGTTGTTCACTGTGTGCCCGACCAGGTACGTGGGACATCTCCGCTCGCCATGTGATGCCCATGTCCGCACGTGGCTACAGAGTAAGCATGCCGGGATCGCTTTGTATCCATTTCGCAACTTGAAGCTCGGTAGAAGTGAGACAATGGATGGAATGCGCGTTCCGATGATAGCAGAATAAAATTTGTAGGCAGCGAATGCCTCAGCGCACAGGGCTGCTGATAGAACTAATTGGAAGAGATGAATAAATACACAAATAAGATTCTTGGGGTATCCTCGTTCGGGTCGTACACGTAGCGTTGCTTAGGTGTTGCGCAATTTTGAGTAGTTACGTCTTGCAAATGCATCAAATCGACCGAATGTGTTGTGGATTGTCAGCACTTAGAACATTTCGTTGTCCTTACTGGCAATACTCCACTTGCTGCGCTCCTCGAGCGGCGTTCTGTACGCATCGTTCGGCGTCTCCAGTTCGTCGCTCTCGTGAGCAAATTCCTGCGTCAGAGCTTCACTGTCAGAGCCGCTGAAGCGGCTCACTACCGGCCCTGCGCCGCCCGTAGAGTGAGCAGAGAAGCCCGACTGCCGTTTGAGTGATCGTGGAGATGCACTAGGTGGGCTGCCCTCACCCGTCTCGCGCAACAAATCTTGCAAGCGGCTCGATGATCCAGCCAGCATATAGCTGCTCCTGGTACTCTGTAGAGTTGACGTTGAATTGACTTGGCTATGCAACTCCGAAATCTCTTGGCGTAGCCCTTTGAGCTGGGTTTCAAGTTTCCGCCGCGCCGAGCGTTCATCGGACAGCATCTGGTACAGGGAGCGGAACGTCCATTCCGGAGGATGGGCGCCACCGCTTGATTCCATCGTGCCGGGTGTCACGGCTGCCATTGTCGCAGAGCTTGTCTGTGGAGTGGCCGCTCTTTCCGGTTCTGGTCGGAGCTCGGCCGATCGCGGCGGAGTAGGAGCGTGGCTGTTCAGTGGGCCACGATGAGATTTGGGGTGGTTCACTTCGTGTGTTTCCGTCTCAGAATCATCGTGCACTGATGCCGCGAGTGGTGGTTGTGCGGACGTCACTGGGCGCATTGTATGGCCGTATTCGTATTCATAATTCGAGGGCTCTAGAGGGTCCGCGAGTGTTTCAGCGAGCATGCTCGGTGTCCGCATGTCACCAGAACTGCCTCGATTCGTCAGGCCACCACTCATCACGATGGTTCTTCGATTGCGGTCAGCTGTGAGCTTCTGTAAAGACCTTTGGAAATTCTGCAGGCCCGCTTCGAGCTTCGCTACTCGGTCCTCCAAGTCCTTTGACATTTCCGTATCAACGGCAGAGGAAGGTCTTTGTGAGTCTCCATGCAACGATGTGGGGCCTCCACGATAGCGTGGTGGACTGCTCTTCATGGTCGCAGGTTTGGAATGACTTTCTACCTCGCGTGGCGGTGTAGGAGGGGTCTGCACGTCTCGTCGTTCGCTTCCTCGAGACATCGATGGGCGTGCGGCCGATATCTGGCCTCTCGACGAGGGCTGCGTTGCGAAACCACTTGACCGTAGGGCATCTGGCTGGAAGCTCTCGCGCCAATATCTAATCTCCTCACTTCTCTTGCGTGGCACACTGTGCTCTCTAGCGGCAGTCGCTTGCAGATCATCTGTGCTTCTCGATTTCCTCCTGTCCCTCTTGATGAGTTCTGCGATGCTCTTTGCGGCGGTGGCATCACCCACTCTATCCGGAGGCGGCATTGGTTCCTCGCTGGTCTCCTTCGTTACATGCTCGTCGTTCACGTGGTCTTGTTCTTCCGGAAGCATATTCGGTAAGGTCTTCCGACGTCTGAGGGGCTGTGGAGGAGATGAAAATTGGTGGCCAAGATCCATTGGCTTCAGTCGGACACTGTTTGGGAACTGGAGTGCATAGGGAGACGTGGTTCGACTAAAGCTCGGCCGACTAGCCGGGTAGGCTGGGGCAAACGCATGGGAAGCAGAGCTGTCATATTCATGAGGTTCTGGCACCTCTGGCTGTGATGGCATGGGCACGGGTGGCTCGCTTTTGTGGTAGGCATGTCTAGACGCCGTCTGGGGTGGGTCTGCATCGATAGGGCCATGGCTGATGGAATCTCGTGAGCGACGACCAAATATCTTGCGGACGGCACTGCGTATTGAGCCCTTTCGAGCTTTGACTCCCTCACCAAAGCCACCGCTACTCCTCACCGGGAGATCCTGAGGAGCACTGGACATTGGGAAGGGTTGGCCGTGACTGGCTGCGCGGAGACCGTGGTTGGATCTCTGCCTGTGTATCCGCGAGGTGGAGTGAGGCGCATTGTCGTAGCTCTGCGAGCTGTCCATGCCGAGCGGCGGTGTGGGCGGAGAGGAGTGCAATATGCCTCGACGGGACGGGGCTCGTGACTCGGGGGGAAGCTCTCAATCCATGTGGAGGCTGCGCGCAACGATCAATGGCCCCGGCGTGCGCGCTGGCGGTGATGGCAGGGCTCCGGCAGACGAAAAGAAAAGGCCCGTAGCGACTGACTGGCGGGGAGCGAAGCTTAAGGAGCGGCAGCAGCGGTGCAAACGAGCGGCAGGCGCATGCGTGCGAGGGAGCGTGGAAGGAAGGTGGTCAGTCAGTTGGTGCTCGCGATAGCACGCCACATATCCAGCGGCAAACGGGAGGGGTGCCACGAGGGGGAAGGAGCGAGGCCTTTCCGACTGGCGGGCGGTCAGGCAGCGAGACGATCTCACGACGGCGATCGCCAGCCCATGCTTGGCCCAGCAGCGGCGGCGGGTGCGTGGTGCTGTAGTGTGGGAGTGCTAGGAGCGATGAGGAAAGCGTACAGCCGACACGCAGCAGCGCATGTCGGTGTGTATCAGTGGTCCGACGTGGTTTCAACGCCGCTGGGGATGCCCTCCAACCCTGCTGCACCTCCCGACGTGTACCTGCACGAGGCCCGCCTAGCGCGATCCCTTCCCCAGCTTGCGTCGCTTGCTCGACTGCGCTAACTAATGCCGCGCAATCTCAGCCTGCAGCAGGCCACCACGACGCCCTCCTCCTTCTTCGCACCTCCTCCGCCCATCGCCGTGCTGCATCCCTCGCGTGTCTGCGGTGGTGGTGCCTCCGAAGCGAGGAGAGGCACCACGATGCACGCGCGCGCATACAGCAATCATCATCATCGCAACGCGTTGTGACTATCGAAAAACTATCGACGACTAGTTAGACCAGCCCTAACGAGCGATTGCGCAACGCTGCCGAACTTCACCCCAGCAGGAGCGCTTCATCCTTCACGCTCTGGTCTGAGTGCTGCGCTCCCTGTCCACGCTGAGCACTATGGTCACCGCTTCGCATCGTGCTCGAGAGTCCGCTCCTCACTGAACAGCATCCGTCCAGATGGCCGCGACCATAGTGCACCTTCGTGCATGGCGCCAGCAGAAAGCGGGACGTGAACAGCCAGCACCAGTTCGCCGGGCCATACCGCCCGACACTCTGTTCTTAATAACGCTGCTTGCACAGCACCTCATCTCATCTCGCGCCCTTGCAGCCGCTCGCTCCAACACGAGCCTGGAAGCACCGAACAGGTTGTGCGCTCGTATGCACATGCTAGCTACCGCAAAACGCTGCCAGGTCCGCGTCTCGCAATTTGGCGCAGGCACGGAGTCAGGGACCTGCAGCAGTGTGCTCGCTTACGGCTTAGCTCTGCATCGTCAATCTGCTCGAGCATGATGGGGCCCTGGTCGGTTCAAGCTCGCGCTAACAACAATCCCTTCATTTACTCGAAGCCAGCTCGCTCAGATCTGGATACCGAAGGTCTGCGTGCTCCTCGAGATGTGACATCCAACTCTTCAGAAACTTTGATCCCCTACCAACACGGTGTCAGCGTGCTCATCACAAAAACCATCCCCAGCGCCGGGTTCGTGCAAGTCGCCCGGGAATAGCATTTCACAACGGCCATGAACACGTATCGTGCGACACTTACTTGGCTATGGTCTCAGAATCCCCGATCACGCACAAATGTCGTTTGGGCCGAGTCATCGCAACTGCAGCTCACGATTAGCTTTCGACGCACTGCGCAGCCTCTTGAGCCCACTTACCATTCAGTCGTCGCTTTTCCGCCAAGAAGCCAACCTCGCGCTCAGGATTGCTACGAACGAGACTGACGACGACCGCCTCCTTTTCTCGGCCCTGAAAACCGTCGACACTTCCCACTTCCAAGCCCGCGAATCGCTCTTTCAGCATCTGAGAAAGCAGGCCGACCTGCCCGTTGTATGGCGTGACAATCGCAATGTCCTCCGGTTTCAGCCCGGCTGTGACAAGGCTCTCGATGTGATCCCTCACGATGAGAGCTTCAGCTTCGTTGATTTTGCTGTCAGCCAGCAGACTGGACTTGCTTTTAGGGGTTTCCTCTTCCTCCGCCTTCTCTGCGAAGTCCCCACCTTGTGTATCGTAGAATACCAAAGGTTCGATGGTATTCTCAGTCTCTTGGACCGGATAGGGCAAGTCTTTGAGCAACCGAAGCTTGACGGCCTCTGCTGCCAACAATTTGTCATCATACAAAGCCTGCGAAGGAAATGCCATGATGGATTCATGCATGCGATACTGTGTGGTCAGCATACGCTTTATATCATTGCCGTGTAACTCCAGGAGCCGATCGAACAGCGTGGTCTCTAGACTCAACTTGGTCGACGTTGATTCTTTGTCTTGCTGCTTGAGACTCAGGCTGTCAAGTTTCTTGGTTGCCTTGTCTACTCCTTTGGCCGTCTTTTGATCCTTTTTCATGTTCGCTGACTTGATCGTTGGTGGCCTAGAACACGAAAACACACGTCAGCTATCGTCCTACATCCACTGCGAATGTGAACATACAGCTGCAAGTGGTCGCCTGCCAGCACTAATTTGGAAGCACCAGTCCAGAGCACCGGAATCCAGCATTGCGCTTCTAGCGCTTGACTTGCTTCATCCACAATGACCACGTCGAACTTTTCGTCCTTCAACTGGAAAGATCCGGCTCCGTGAAGCGTCGAGAGGACTACCTTGCTGCTCTTGAGGATCTCCCCTACCACTCGATTTTCTCGTTGGCGGTACTCTTTGCGCAGTTCTTTGATTTCGCCGTAAATGGCCTTACGTTCGCGGCCATTGCGCGTTTTCCGGACCGAAGCCTGCTTACTATCCATTTCAGATCTGATATCAGCAACGATCGCGGCAGCGTCACTGGTCCTCGACAAGACTTCCATGCTGTGACTGAGCACGCTGGGCAGGAGACGCGCAGGATGTCCCAGCCGCACCATAGGGACTTTGTGCGATGCGAGACGCTCTACGATGTTGTCCACGCTGACATTGCTAGGTCCGCAAACGAGCAGCCGCATACCGCGCTGAACAAGCTGCAAGATGAGTTCGATAAGTGTGTGGGTTTTGCCGGTGCCTGGCGGGCCGTGAATCAAGGCGATCTCTCGAATGGCAAGTGCGAAACGGATTGCGTCCTTCTGGCTTTCGTTCAACGTAGGATCTTCCCACTGTACCTCCTTCGCGAGCTCAGAATCGAGTACTGGCGTTGGAGAGGATTGTCCAAACAGTACCCGTATGAGCATGCTGTGCTCTGCTGGCTGCATCTTTTGCAGTCGCGTCATCGTCTGGTTTAGTCGTTTGAAGGTAACATCATTGGCCAGTTTGACTCTGCGAAATCAGCATATGAAAGTACTTACCTGGAGACTTGATGGCAGACCTACAGCCAGAGCTTGCCGTTGGGCACGTCTACTTCTTCTTTGTCCAGGGCGACTGTGATGGCGGTCTTGTTCATTCGAGTCACGACACCCTCTACGCCATGTTTCTCCATGGCTTCTCTTTCCTTCTTCCTTTCCGCGCCTTTGGGTTGTTCGGCGACTGCACAAATATCTCCCACACGGAGGCCATGTTCAGGTAGTTCCGCGCCATCGCCCGCGACAGCTGGGTCAATGCCCAGTTCGAGCAACGTCTTACCACCGAAACCGGTTCGTTGCGAGGACACTGTCAAATTCAACACGGCAAGGCCTGCGCGTTGGAGTGTCGTGGGCGCATATGTGGCTGTCAGCAGCTGTGTCTCTTGCACCTCTGCCTGCAGTTCATTGTCCAGTAACGACAGTTGCCCGCCCGCGAACGCTGCAATGTCTGTTGCTGCCATGGCAGACGCCTCGCATGTTCATGTAAACGTTGACGATTTGATCAGTGACGTGCCACGCGTGATGCTCGTTCGATCTTGGCACCGGAACGCGGACCCTGATTCGCGCTTTCCCGGGGAAGCTCCTTGTCGATGCGCAACCAGTGTGCTGTGGGCACGTCGTTTGCGAAGGCGCTTGCTGACCGGGTGTCCAACCACTTCACTAATTGACCGACCAACGCGCTGCTCCGCCGCTGGCACCTCCTTCCGCCCTCCTTTCCACCCTCCTCGCTCGCCAGTCACGCCGGGTCCTGCTGGCGGAAGTCATGGCGGCGGGCTCTCTGCTACATCCTCCTTGACAGAAACTCTCGCATATCAGTACCGACAGCATCAGATACGACATCTATAGCAGCCGTCGCCCAGCATGACACGCCGCATTGTATGTGCACGACAGGGTCCGCTCACATAGGCCACAAACACTAATTACACTCGCCAGGTCCGGACGTTGGGCCAAATCGCCGCATCGATAGCTCTCTTCTGCATCCTCGTCTTTTTCGCCGATTCGCGCTATCGCGTGCTTCCCAACTCGATTCATCATGCTCTGCCGTCTCATCATGCCGGCACCGTCATCACTGATGTAACGATTGCCTTTTGCTCTACGGTGAATCCGCTTTCCAAATGCCGCCTCGACGACAACAACTGGAAACGAGTGGAGAAGGACTTGCTGTTGGGTGGAGGCTGGATCCGGAGCGCATACCTGCATGTGCAGCGTAAGCAGGAAGAGGAGCTCCTGAGTGAAGACAAGGTCGTTGTAGGCGTCCGTGTCAGCCGCCAGCCACCCGCTGCAGACGAAAAAGAAGATGGGCGTGAGCCATGGGAGAAACGACCAGGGGGCATATGGATTCAGCGGAGCAGCAAAAGACACGATAGCGATTCCGATCGAGCTGTGACAGCCATCGACGTTCTCTTTGGCCCTGATGCCATTGATCCTAGACCGAACTGGATCCTGGAGAACACGCCTCTCTTCGTTGACAGTGCGAGTGCCAACTATGCGCCCAGGCTGAGCACGCGACATGGGAGACCGCGTGCTGCACATGACACTCCGCCAGTACCACGTGTTGGCAAGGACGGCAAGTTCAAGATTCTCCAAATCTCCGATGCTCATCTGTCCACGGGCACTGGAGCATGTAGGGACGCCATTGGAGAGAATGATAAGCCGAGCGTCAGATGCGAAGCCGACCCACGGACTCTAGAATTTATTGAGCAAGTGCTTGACGATGAGAAGCCAGATCTCGTAGTCCTCTCCGGAGACCAGGTGGAAGGACCCGCTGCTCCAGACACTCAGACGGCGATTTTTAAAATGGTTGCGCCACTGATCGAGCGCTCGATCCCTTATGCGGCCATCTTTGGCAATCACGATGATGAAGGTCCACGTTCTTCTCCTCGCGTCGCCCAAATGGCTCTGATGCAGACACTGCCTCACAGCCTTTCTGAGCCCGGTCCGTCGAAAGCAGAGGGGGTTGGCAACTATGTGGTGGAAGTCCTTGCGCCGGGCTCTCAGCACTCCGCACTCACTTTGTACATGCTGGATACTCATAGCCTGACACCTGACGAAAAGCGATATAAAGGCTACGACTGGATCAAGCCCGGTCAAATTGAGTGGTTCCGAGAAACTGCCAAGGGTTTGAAAAAGGCACATTCGAAATATAGCCATATCCATATGGATATGGCGTTCATTCATATTCCCTTACCTGAATACGGCGATCGCAGCAACGTTATGGCTGGAGGCGCCTGGAAGGAAGGTGTCACCGCACCCGGCTACAACAGCAAGTTCTACGATGCGTTAGCAGAAGAGGGCATTGTGGCAGTTGGCTGCGGGCATGATCATGTCAATGACTACTGTGCTCTCCGACCTCACAAGCATGAGGTTGCCCGAGATGTCGCTGAAGGACAGCAGTCTCAGAGTCATCGTGAGAGGCTCGGCCCTTGGCTGTGCTATGCAGGAGGGTCCGGCTTCGGGGGCTACGCTGGATATGGTGGATTCCACCGAAGAGTGAGAGTGTGGGACATCGACACGAACGCTGGCCGCATGTCTACTTGGAAGAGAGTAGAATGTTGTGGCGAGGACACAAAGAAGAAGATCGACGAGATTGTGCTCATTGATGGTGGCAACGTCATCGCGCCAACGACTTGATCACTTTTCAGGAAGTACAGCCGAAGCAGTCGTATTCGAAAGTTTGCCTTGAACGCTCTGGCGTCGACAAGCTTCTCTGCAACCGAAAAAACGATCTCGCTTGACGGTTGGCATAGCCATGGGGACACTCTTCACCTCGAACGGCACGGGAACAATGACTGTTGTCAGAGAGAGTATGCTCAGACCGGCATTTTCTGAAATCCTTGGCGATCACTGAGCCATTAAGTGTCCCAACTGTAGACACTGGCACTGCCCTGAGACATCGATACCGAAGGCCGCCTGAGACGATTTGAGCCAATGTTGCTGCCGCTAGCCTCGGCGATCTTTTTCTAAGCCTAATCTGCACTGTTCGCACGCGACAGTGCGGACAGGGAAATACCATGCACGTCTGGAATAAGCACGAAAGCTCACGCGAATATCGCTGGCTGTATCGGAACGATCATCAGTAATCGACGACAAATCAACGGCATCCGATTGGATCAACATCAGGGAAGAGACAGAAGCGATACAGCAATTAGATGTTGGAGAGCCTCAGCTATAATGACATATGACAAGCGTCGCGGCATGCAATTGCCTATAGCCGTTCCAATAATGCGTCTGGAGATAGCAGAGTGCTAAACATTGCAAGCATCCAGGTGCCTCTGGCGCGTTTTCCACGAGCGACTGCGTTTTTCCTTTACCGTCACCAATCGCAAGCATTTGCCAACACTTCAGCCAGCTGTTCTAGCTTGACCTGGTCTTGCTCGTCAAAACCGTTCTCCACGGCGCAATCGATATCGATGATTGCGACGACCTAAAGCTCGTCAGCACTATAGCAACATCAATCGAGAGCTTTCCTCACCTTTCCACTCTTCACGATGGGCACCACTATCTCGCTACGACTGTCTCCATCGCAGGCTATGTGACCTGGGAAATTCTCGACATCTAGCACCAGCTGTGTCTTTTGGCTCGCTGCCGCTGCGCCACAGACACCTTTGCCGAACTTGATTGTCTGACAGGCAACCTACTCTCACATGTGAGTCTACTGAGCTGAGAAGGGGCACTGAAGTGAATCCTACTTTGCCATGGAAAGGTCCGAGAATGAGCTGGTCAGGCGTTGAGTGATCAACTGTGTAGAAGCCTGACCAGTTCACTTGATTAGTTGGCGCTGGCAATGCATGATATGCGTGCCATAGGAGGGAAGCTGCGTTCGCTGTGTTGCTGACAAAATGTTCAGTTTCAGACTGCTGGTCAATACACTGACGGAATTCATACCACACCTGCATGGGTCAGCAAGTGCGATACCGCCAGAGATAGACAGGAAGACTGACCCAGTTGCGTTGATCAGCAAAGAGAGCTTTCGCCTGGTCGATAACCTGATCGTATGCTTGTGTCTTGCTCACTCCTGCCACGAAATTGGACGAATCGGCGTGTACCTTCGGACGTTATCAAGCTGAGTCAATGCAGGGTCGCTGCGAGTAGTATTCACCATGGTTCGTGTTCGCCAGTCCACGCTAGCTTAGGTGCAGTATATTGTGATGCAGGCGCAAGGAAACGCGGCAGAGGTGGAGGAATTATGGCCAGGTCGCAAATACCGTGAAAGGTATTCGAGTTTGACTAGTAGAACGACGAGTTCCACAGCAGAGTTGAAGTTCGGACTTAAGCGGCTTTTCAATGTGGATCCCGCTGCTTGACGTACATCTCACTTGCGACTGCGGAACAGCGGGGCATTTGAGGCATCTGCAGGTCGTACGTATGATAGGAAGCCTTGAGCCTTGCAAATCGCCTTTCTCCAACTCAAGCACTGTATTCTCCCGTCTGATCTTATCGCAGCTGTCCACAGATTGCGACAATGTCTTTGAAGCAGTGTTGCGCCACTGGGAGTCTGCACACAGGGACCCCAACCGGAAGAATCGAAACCCTGCACGGTCTCGACTGCTACATAGCCGATGCTCCCCAAAGTCCACCAAAAGGCATCATAATCATCATTCCAGATGCGTTCGGATGGACACTGCCCAACAATCGCATTCTCGCCGACGATTACGCCAAGAATGGATTCACGGTGTATTTACCTGAATTCATGCAAGGTAAAAAGTCAAGATACTGTGGACAGGGATTGTCGCTGACGAGTGAGCACAAGGTGTGAACATCCCTCATGATATGATGATCAGTATGAAGGCGATGTCTGCAACAGGCCTTTGGAATCAGATCTATAAACTCGGACATGCGGCGTACCTCGCTCGCCACTTCATTCCATTCCTGCTGTACAATCGACCTGCAGTGGCTGGGCCACGAGTATGGGACTTCGTCAAGGCTGTCAAGCAGAATGAAGGCAAAGAGCTTCCCATCGGCACTGCTGGCTTCTGCTGGGGCGGACATTTCGTCACGCAGCTTTGCAAGGATGAAATCAAAGCCGATGACGGCAGTAGACTGACAGTATGCGGTTTCGTGGCGCATCCATCTTTTCTGAAATATCCCGATGATATCGAGGGGGTGGAGTTGCCTTACTCGTGCGCGGCAGCGGAGCTCGAGGATCCGCAAATGTCGCATGAGCAGGCGAAGCAAACCAGGGAAATCTTAGAGGCGAAGACTGCCAAGCAGAAATCGCAAGGTATCGAGCATGAGTTTGTGATGTACGAAGGCGTGCATCATGGTTTCGCTGTATGTCCGACCCGGCACTCTTTCCCGCGAAGGCAACTGACGAAGGGCAGGTCCGCGCAGATGAAGAAGACAAGCACGAAGCAGCTCAGGGAAAGAAGGCAGAGGAACAAGCAGTGCGCTGGTTTACTAGATGGTTTGCCAGTCCACCACCCTGAAGATGCAACCGAAAAGCACCTGTTTCTCTGAGATAATCAACACTTGTCTGCTGATAGGTTCCGAAACGGGCAGAGTTGTGTCGTGGAAGCGTAGTCCGACGACGGCGTCGTGAGTTTGCAAGAATACTGCAGAGTTGTCTGGGAGTTCGCCACCTACTGGCAACGATTCCAGCTGTTAAATGCCCATGCAATGATATCCTCTTCTTAAAATTGGACACGTCCAAGTCCGATCTTGACTCGATCCCTATGGCTGAGGCTTGAAGTCCTAGAGATGAAGTCTATACAGCGGAGCGAGTGTGTGCTGACAGTTTTGAATACGCTCAAGACGTTTTCTCCTGAACATAGTAGAGTCGTAGATCGCTCATCGCCCCAAAGTAGTCGTCAGGCAAGGCGTCGTCGCTCGATAACGCAGGTACAATGCTTGCCAGTTTCTCCATGAGAAACTTCGCGTCACCCGCAAGCTCAACAGGCTTTCGAACGACTGTGATCCATAGCCAGGTGGGGTCTATATGCCAGCAAGCGTGTTTCGTTTGTCGATATATGGAGACACTAATAGCACCCTGCGATGAAGCGCGTTGATTTACTAGAGGTACATATCGGATCCAGAAAGAGAAGCGCTTGACAGAATCCAGGTGATGCGCATTGCACAGCAGCCATTTCCTGCCATCATCGGCTTTGCGGCCTTCGGTGTGGAGGACAAAGTTATTGCACTCATACCAGAATGGCAAAGACTCGGAGCGCATCTGTCGGCTCACGCGAGTCAAGGCCGGTTGCGTGGCAGAGGTGTAGTAGTCCTTCTGAAAAGGCTCGAGGCGAAAAGTGACCAGCTGGTCTTCGGTAACCACATGTTCGAATATGAGCGCTCGGATTTCCGTAGGAAGAGTAAGTAGGCGTGCTAATGACATGTCTCAGACAGTTCTCTGCGGCGCTATTACGCCGCTTCGCTAGGCTGAGGAGCAGAGGATGCTTTGGCTTGCGGAGAGAAGAATGCTCCTCGCGTTTGCTCTGTCCGAAAGTAGTCTTGCCTCATTCGGATCCCACCGGCACGAGCTTGTCGAAAGCCGACCTCATGAATTAGGAAGGCTCGATGTCTTCAGAGCAAGGGAGTCGTTCCCTGCGATCGCTTTGGAGTGGTATTGACGGCAAACCAGACAGGTGCCGTAAAGGCGAAATGGCGAAGCATCAACAAGATTACGCGGAGAGCCGCGTTTTGCAGTGAATATAGTGCAGTTCCGGGCGATAGCGGACATGTCACGAAGGATCAGATCGTAGCACTGTAAGACAAAGGCACATTTGCGTCAGATGATTCCAACAGCAATGATCCCATATCGGCTTACATCTGTTTCCGACGCCGATGCCGGCCGATGCCAAGACCAGACATTCTCTATGGCTTGGGTCTCGCGCATGTTCATGATTTCATCCAACATAACTATGAAATCATCTGAAAGGCCAACGGAACGTGTAACACGTTGAGACATACTGGGTACATTGTAGTGCTTCATATGAACTGTGTAGAGCTCCTTTGTGCCTTGCACGTTGACAATCCCCAGAACGAAATGGAACGTCTTTCGCCGTGAGCTCCAGTGACCTAGACGGAGGTATCGTTCAACTTCGCCTTCTTTATCCCTTCATTCTCGTCCTCGTCGTCCTCAGCCTTGCGCTTTCTCTCCAAGCTTTCCTTCTTCAGCTTCGCCTCACTCTGCAGCTTTTCCAAGAATCCTTGCGCCTTAGAACGGTCGTGTGCTTCTTCCTTCGCTCCACTAGCGATAGCAGTGGTCTTCTTATGTTGGGCACGGGTTCTGGGCTCGGTAGCAGATCGCTTGTTCACCTTGCCTGACCTTCCTATGGTCTGCCCATCCCCACAAAAGACCTTGCTGTTGCTGGCTTCCTTCCTCGCTTGGCCATCTTCATCGTCTTCAGATGACGAGGCGCTCTCCGCATACAGACTGTCATCACTAGCCTCTGATCTTGCCTACCGGCCTCTTTTGACCTGTTCGTCCTAACGCGGCGATCAGTCGCAATGGGAAGAGTTTTGGTCCTCAATTTACTCACTTGTTCTGCGCTTTTTGCGCGAATCTGATCCATGGTGCCAAGTTTGGGCCGACTGGCCTTGGATTTCTGTTTGCCGTTTTTGTGAGCGTTTGGTGCCATCTTGAGTGGAACGTCCTAGACGTTAGGCGAGTTGTGTTGGTCGTGGACGCTGTAGTAGTAAGAATTGGGTGAGTGTTGGATGCTGGAAGTGAACAAGTCCGGCATCGAATGCTAGATGGTAATATTCGCGCTCTCTTGGCGCGCATGTGAGGTGAAGACAAAGTAAACACTAATCTGAGCTTCTTCCAGATTCGCGCCCACATCACTTGAAAGCTCTCTGCTATTACAGTTGACATCGCTACCCTCACTAGTAGGATGCTACGTAACTGAAAGACTACTGAATTGATCCGACTCAGATTGGCAGGCAGGGCTCGAACCCGACGAGGAGGATCTGGAGGCGGGGAACGGCTCGTCAATTGCACAAAGTAGATCTTCGAGTGAGGAGGCAGAAAACCGAGATATGCATGAGCGTCCGCGGTGATGGTAGGCATGCAGGAAAATTTCGACGCTGGAGGAATAAGCCAGCAAATTCAATATTTCTCGTGCCATAGTCCATGATCATATACGGTGACTAGAACAAGGCGTTCACTTGCCTTGGGACGAGGAAGAGGGCTAAAGTGAACCATGCTTGGGCGTGGCTAGCACGAAGGAGATCGCCGCCGCTTTCGACTTCGGACAGAGGGCTTTTGGCTATCCGAGGTGTACGCTGATTTTAAGGTGCCTGATTTAACGTGTAAGACGTTGCACACCTGGGAAAGGCTGCGATAGTGAACGCTTGATGGTGAAGACCAGTGAGGATGGTGAGTGATGACTGTCCTTTGAGTGGTAGTCCTTCATGGGCATTGCTGACCTGTGTTAGACAATTTTTGCGTAAGCACACCGCCGAGCCTGAGGACATATGGAGCATATCGGCGGTCGTGGAACGCAAGTCCAGAGAATGTTTTTATCCAGCTTCCGAGCAGGAACAAGCGGAGGCAGGGCGTGTTGGAACTTTGAGTACAGAAGTCGGTTGTCTTGGCAATAGACCGGGTGGGCGGGTTGATACGCCTAATAACGGTTATGCGATACTTCCAAAACATAATCACGCCTTCTCCGTCTTTGGCCGCACTTCTCCTCCCCGTCCTTGCTCTGCAACACATTGTCACTCTTTCCTCTCTCCTCATGAGGCTGCTGGGCTCACAATCCCGCGCACTGCTGTTCCAACGTGCCCTGAAACCCTCATTCGGCCGCCCGTTCAGCGATCGCCCTTTCCAGCCCGAGGATCGCGTGCTGCTTCGCAACAAGAATGACCGAACTGCTCCGCCCATTTTGACGCGTCCCTTGCGACCTGGGAGACGCGTCGAGTCGCACCGAGGTGTGGTCTTGCACGACGATATCATCGGCCGCCAGGTGAGAGATGTCGTTCAGGCTCAGACGCCGCGAAGCTCTCGTGGCAATGTCGGAGCTCAATACCGTCTACACCACGTAACCTTGGACGACTATTGCCGCCTCACCAGGCGACTCGTCACTCCCATCTACCCTTCTGATGCCAATTTGATTGTCAGTCTGCTGGATCTGCACTCGCCGCACGAAGATGAGCGTATTGAGATCCTCGAAGCCGGTACTGGCCACGGTGCGCTGACAATGCACTTGAGCCGTGCCATTCGTGGTACTGGAAACGCCTGCCTTCATACCATCGAAGTCTCGCCAAAATTCTCAGCCCATGCCCAGGAGGTGGTCAAGGGCTTTCGTGGCGGCATCTATGCCGAGAACGTGAACTTTCACGTAGGCGACGTCAGCGAATGGGTGCGCAAAGAGCAAGAATCGCGCCAGAGCGGTGGTGACCCTTTCCTTTCGCATGCCTTTTTGGACTTGCCCAACGCAGACTCTCATCTGCAAACCATCGCTCAAGCAATCAAGACGGATGGATCACTCATCGTATTCAACCCAAGTATTACGCAGATCATACAATGTGCCACAAAGGTCAAAGAGAACGGCATTCAGCTCGATCTCGATACTGTGGTTGAACTCGGCTTGAATGGGAGCAGTGGTGGACGCGAATGGGACGTGCGGTTCGTGCGTCCTCGCGCCACGTTAAGAAAGGACCACGAGCAAGACCTACAAGAAGCTCAGCCTTCCGATGAGGCTTCGCCTGGCGCCGTCGACGAGGATCCGGTCGTATCGACGAGCACACCCGTCGAAGATGCTACAGACATGCACAAGTGGTCTCTTGTATGCAGACCGAAGGTAGGTGACCGCATTACAGGCGGAGGTTTTCTCGGTGTTTGGCGAAAGCACCGTGATATGCGAGACCTGTAGCAAAGTCGTGGATGGAAGTGAATGGTCACCTGCCGCTCTCGTTAAATTGTAGTGACACTGCAGTAAGACATTCACTTCCGCAACAAGCTCTCCTCTCCTACAACTTGAACCTCAATCCGCGGCATTAACATCCAGCATCACAGAGAGACACCTTCCGCGGAAGCAGTGTTCGATGGCTGCCACCAAATCAAGGAAACGTCGAGGCGCTGGGAAGACGGCGGACTCGAGGACCGCCTCACCAGCGACAACATCCGCCTCGAACCCGAAGCAGCGCTACGAGCTTCGCTCAGCAACACGTCTGGCTGTACGAGCACCTACAGGCTTTCTCGATATTCCCGCCGAATTGCGCAGTCATGTCTATGACATGTGTCTCGAAACCTACCCGAGCATCAAGCTACACGCCAACCAACGAGTCACATCAGACTGTCCTCTAGTCCGAGTCAACAAACAGCTCCGCGACGAGTTCATGAGCAGAGCGGCCCACCGAGCCCCCATTGTTGAAACGCTGATCAAAGTATTCAACTTCGCCCACGTTATCAAATTCCTCAATCGCCTCAACGACAAAGCTATCCAAGCGTTCGAGTGTCCCCAGAATGGCCCGAGCTCGAGAAGCTATGTCATCCGCCTTCAGGTTAGCACAAAGAACGATGAGGGATTCGAGATTGAGGCCGATACGGACGAGCTGCGTCGCTGGTTGAAGCGATTCGAGAAAGTCAGCAAGAAGGGCTCCAAGATCGACTTTACGTACGTCAAATTGATTGACGAGTGGGTGAACTTTGGGGCACGGAAGCAGTTGTTCATCAGAATGGGGTTGCGAAGCGTCTGGGCATGGGCAGGAAGATGGCAGGGGCTGGCTCCTCCACTGGCGGGTCCGATGGTGCGCGAGGGAGGGAAGATATACGAGGCTTTGGACTGAAGAACTGAACTTTCGCTTGGCTGGAAGATGTTTGTCAAAGAATCAGCGGGCAATGGATGGTGTCACAGTAAAACAGGCATGGTGCTGAGCAGCATCGTCCCCGACGAACATGGCGTAAGTTCATCGCTTGTGCGCGCGCTCTTGCATGAGGTTTGGGGGTTTCAAACCGCTATCGAGGCGACTTTTCTTTTTGCTTTATCGTCAATTACAGCGCCGTTGTAAGTACTGAGCTCTCGCCGCGATGTCAACGTAGAGAACATAGATCTGCTCATCAATCCAGGTCGGCCGCCACAACGTCTACCTTGTTCCACGTTCATAGAGCTAACTCTGCTCCTTTGGTGGGCCAAATACATTAATTCGATACAGAGGCTTGCCTGAGATAGGATCACCTTCCGGTGCCGACTTTGCAACGGAAAGTTCAAACACAGGACATACGGTAGCTTTTGCCCCGACCTGACCTTCGTCGCTCCGGAACCTTGCTCCGAAGACTGCTACTCTGCATGGATATGGGTTGTGTCGAGTCTAAATCGATGTCTCAGAAACGCTTCACTGCTGTCTTCTGCGTATGACTATGTCCAAAGGATGATCACGTCCTCAGCTTCGTGGACATCATGGCAAGGCGAATGGTGCCGGGCTTGCGAGGAAAGATGGCTCCCAGTCTCAGCACCACTCAGACAGGTTTGGCGCATGGTGGTCAAGTATTCCCCATCCACACATCAGGATTGCAAGAACCAGTACATCGAGCACACGGCAATGCGGATCTACGTGCACCTGAAGCAAATGGTTCAAGAAGGACAACTCATTCCAGTTACATGGCGACCGAAACAGTGGCTCGGGTTCTGTGTGCTAAATCACATCTCCTTCACCTACCTGAGCCGCGCAATGTCCGAAGGCACTCACTCTTGGGATGCCACTTTTTGCAAGGATCTTGCAGTGGTTGTCTAATCTGCCTACTCCGCTAGAGTCGGTGACGTTGCACTTACACTGGGGTGCCAGATGCACCATCGATTCGCTGAAGGACGTCGTCCTCTGTCGAAAGAGCGGCCATCAACGCCCTCTCAGCGTCCAAGGCCTTGAATTGAACGTTATTCTGCGCTACACCAAAAGCCACGAGCCAGTCACGCATGCTTGTTTCCCCTCTTAAGTGTCACTCAGGGTACGCTGAAGACTCGCAACACTACTCCTACAATCTCCGTGCCACCAAACCACTCAATGACAAATTGGGGCCTATGATAGCACAAACGCCGTATGTCCCGCTTCGTCAGGCGCACAAGAAAGTCGGTACAGACGTCTATATGGCCGAACACCAACTTGACTCCACTGACACCTCCGTCCGCCAGAAGGCACGGAGATTTGAACTTGATGCATGTTCAAAGAGTATGGCGGGTTCTGCAATTGCTTCTGCAGGTGTCGAGCTACCTTCAACTCGTACGACGTTGCGAGAACAAGAAACACAGCTACTGGACGTGCAACACATGAGGTCCACACTCTATCGAGTAAAGCCACAACAATCAGCTCGCACACAAGTTTCGACACGCTCACAGATAGCGAAGATCACAAGGACCATAACCCAGACGAAGACGAAGATTCAGAGCATGCGATGCGCTCAGGCGCCATGGCAAGCCAAACGCAGTAGACTTTCTAGTATGATTCTGTATCATCTAATGTAGTCTTCTATCATATTGCGGACAATGTCTAAGCGCCAGCATACGGCGTAGGCACCGCGCTGGTGATATCGATGTATCCATATTTAGCCTTCTCGCTGTCCTCAGCAAGAGCCTGGCCCCAAGTTGACATGTCCTTCTGGAAGGCCTCAACGTTCTGATCATCTGAGAGATCAATCGGCTCCTGGTCCTTGCCAATCTGTCGGATTTGCGTGCCAGCCACAACATTTGTGATGCCGAAGTTCTCCTGATCGATCTTTTGGAGAATGGCGCCCTTCACTTTACCCGCGAGGATGTCCTTGGTAAGTCGGGGTTCCTGGCAAACAGGACGCGCAAGCCCGACACCATCGACAGTTTCTAGGGCGTGAACCATGGCGCCTGCGGTCTTGAAACCTCCCGTGACGTACGTCTTAGTCTTTGACAGTGCTGGCACAATCTGCTCTGCGAATTCGAGGAAAAAGCTTTCTCTCTTCTTCGTGCTCTCGCGCTGGTGAGATGAGTTGAACGCGAGCTTCTCGTAAGTGCCGCCTGAGAGCTCAATGAAGTCGAATTTGTTCTGCTCAAGCAATGAGGAGATCTCCTTCGCTTCTTCTGGAGTGAAACCCTTGTCTTGGAACTCAACCGAGTTGAGCTTGATGCCGAGGATAAAGTCTGGCTTGGTTCGTTTGCGGATTTCTTGGGCGATCTCGAGGATCAAGCGAGCACGGTTCTCCAGTGAGCCACCATACTGATCAGTGCGTTGGTTCGTGGTCGGGCTCAGGAATTGAGCAAGCAAATAGCCATGGGCGCCGTGCAACTGCACTCCGTCCCAGCCCGCCTTTTCCAAATACTCGGCTTGATGTGAGAATCCCTCGATGATGTTCTTGATGTCCTCCTCGGCAGCGGCCCTTGGCTGCGCGAATTTCATGCCCATGATGTCTCCTGTAAATGATTAGCTCATGTTCAAATACCAGCATCATCTCATTAGGCAAGCTGTATAAGTGACCTCTATTGAGCACACTGGGCAACTTACCTTTTAACTGAACATTACTTGCAGAGATTGGATGTGGCTGGATATCCTCCGACACTTGACGACCAGGATGCGAGATTTGTCCAACCATAAGGCTGCCATGACGCTTTCCCTCTGTTGCCATAGCTGCGAAACGCTCGAATCGTTCACCCTCGTATGGTGCGCCTCTAGGGATGATGGGATTGCCACGAGCCTAGTGGTACTCAGTCAGCTGATGATCCAGCCGCGTGATACTGTCACATAGCAAGTGTTCTCCTTCTCACCTCAAGATGATCGTATTCGAACATGATGTTCCCGCTAAGTATCAACCCCAGCTGACCCTCGCCCCATCTCTTGTATACATTGACCAAGTTCTTGCTGGGAACACCTCTGTTCTCCAATGTCTTTGCGTCCCACGACGACAGGCGCTCTGTCATGGCGCCTTTGAGGAATCGATTGGGGGCTGTCTTGCCGCTGAACTCGAAGTTCAATGGCTTGCCCAGGGGCGAGACATCGACATCGTCGGACTCGAATCGTGGTGGTGACATGGCGCCTGTGGGTGTAGTGAGTGCAGGATGGGATTGGTAGAAAGAGCAATTGCGGACAGTGTTACAAAAGTAATGAAATAGTTGGGAAATGCAGGAAAGCACGAAGAATACTTGTACGGAAAGCCATAGATCTCAGCTTGTGATTAGAAATGCATCGAATGGACTAGGCATCGCGACAGCTGTGGTCCCTTCCGGCAGTGAGCGAGTGGGCTAGAGAAACTAGAGAGTCGATCAACGTCATGGCCATGTTTTTCAATGACGTTCTTCCAGCAACTGCCGTTGTCCTGGGTGGCCGCGTGGAAGTTGATCCGCTCAGTGCGTTCAAGTCTCGTCAGTCCTGCGTGCATCGCTCGGAGATTTCAGGCTCATGCCGACTGAGCTGCGTTGCAAGTTGAAGGTGTGGTTAATAAGTCACTCTTATGCATGAGGTGGGGTGGAAACTACCAGCGGGGTCCGATCGCACTTGCCTCGGAGTATCACTCAGCCGCCAAGACGTGCCAGAGTCAATGGTAAGAGCAACATGCAGCTGCTCGGCCAAGTGGCTGGTGCCAGAGACAATGTGATACAAGAAGAAACTGAATACTGAGATCTGAGATTTGAAACGGGGAAATAAGACCGTGAGTATAGTCGTACATCTATCGGCTGCATTCGCAAGCTGAGCTTCACGAAGAGCCCTCTCGATTATTCGTAAGGTCGTCACATCCGCCATATATGTACAAGGAGAGTTCCTTGTCAGATGCGTGCGCTCTTCATCGCCAGAGCAGAGATTTGGGATATCAGATTAACCTTTTCCACCCGTGCCCAGAGAAAGATGAAAAATGAAAAGTCGTTCTGCCAAGGTCGCCGGCAGAAGGTATTCGTGTTTCGAACGGACCTCCGCGGGCTCAAGCCAACGAGCAGAGGTTACATTGTCTCATCGGAGGAATATATGCTTTCGTGACAGTTATTCGGCTGATAGCAGTGGTAGATCGGTATCATTGGGGGCCGCCATTGCCGCCATGGAGATGCGATGGATGCTGTTGCCCGTTGCCGTCAAACCCACCAGCTCCCGGATCAAAGGACATCGGCCCGGGCGTGAAAGATCCCAAGCCCAAACCCTCGGCCCAATCCCATTCCAGTGTCATGGGCATCTGCCAGAGGTCTTGAGGTACGAAAGGTTGTTGAAAAGCTCCAGTGCCATTCAGTGCTCCCGGCATTCCGCCTGGGCCACCCATGGGTCCGCCGTTCGGATCGAAAGGCATGCCACCGAATTCGGGTCCGGACGTTGGATGAGGGAATACTGGGTGAGGCGCGAAAGTACCATCCATGTTGGGCGGAGCTGTGGAGAATTGTTGTTGTGGTGAGCCATTGGGTCCACCAAATTCGAGACCGTTCATGTCTTGCGGATATTGGATGTGATTGTAAGGACCAGCGGCCGAGTGAGGTTGTTGTGAGGGCATGTAATTACTTTGCTGATGGTGTTGTTCCTGATGCTGACCATGGCCATTGAGCGTGGAGTGAGCCAAGTGTGGTGTCGGATTGCTGGCTGAGCGCCGATTGCTCGGAGGTTCGGCGCCTGGAGGGCTACCGCCCCAGCTGCGAGGACTGTTGGCTGGATTACTTCCTGCCTGGCTTGCCGTCGAAGCTCGTAGACTTGGAGTTGGGACGGGCCTTCGGTATGAGGCTTGCGTCTCGACTTGAATTTGCTCCAGCGTCTTCCCCTCCTCGATACCTTGAGCAACCTCGCCAGTTACTCGTTCCTTCATGGCCTTTTCGCGTTCGCGCTCAGCTTGCTTCCGCTTGCCACGACCTCGCATCTCACGTTCGGCTTTGTCTAGGGCGACACGCGCAATGCGCTCAAACTCAGCGCACACCGAAAGCATGCGGCGCACGTTGCCATTCGCTTCCGAAACGTCGCGTTCGAGCATAGTCAGGAAGGATACCACACTGCTCATCAGCTTGAGGTCAGTACGGGCTCGCGCATCCTGTGGGTTCTGTAAGATGTTGGCGAACAATGTCACTAGTGAGGACACTGGATAGTAGAGGATAAGCCTAGACGTATTGATTAGTAGGTTGGCACAGAGCACTACCGCCACGTTAACTCACCAAACACAAGCGTAGTCTCCTTGTGGAATGTATCTGATCAGCCCAATGCTCGTCCTGGCTGCATTGACACACAGCGCCGCGCTCATGAACACCCGCGGATTCAATGGTCTGGCGTTCAGTCCCTGAACAGCATAGTCACTCAATCGGCTGGTCCAGTATCCGTGATGAACGCTCATCCTGTGTATTGTGGTCAAACAATTGTAATATGCGAAATGCAGTACCACAATGTGCAAGATAAGTGGGGTGTGGGTGGCTTTGATCTCGTGCTCCGGCCTGAAGTCGATTGGGATACCATCTTTCCATTCTTCTAGAGCGGCATCAAGCTCACCAATTGTGTTCAGCAATTCGCCGTCGCTTTGTCGACTAGCTTTCACCGAGTACAGTTGTTTGTAGACCCGAGACTGTATTTGTGCGAACTGACACATCAGCCTGAACAGGTTCATGGTACTTCCGTCCTTCAGAGGCACATTGCCCACGTTGTCAGGCGGCTTCTCTGATGGGAGATCCACATTCATATCATCGTCGTCCTGTACCGGCGGTCTGCCGGATCGCAAGCAGAGATCCTTATCCAATAGGTATGCAATCCAGAAGACACGTTTACGTTGCTCGTTTTCAACTCCATTGAGATTGAAACCCGATCCACGCTTGTGTAGGCCTATTGAGTGGGCCAATCGAATAGCAGCGGCAACCAAGAAGAAACTGGGCTGCGGATTCGGCGTGCCTTGCAGGAAAAGAGCCATGCCGATAAGTGCCTGCACTGACAGTAGATCTGTGTTGCGCAGTGTCAGCTCCGACATGACCGCCATAGCGTTCTTGAGATACGCCCAAGCTATTTCATCCTCCTCTTGCCCGACCACGTTGCTCATCACGCGAAGCCTATGTCCAATGGCAAGCGCGACGTTGAGACTCGCCCACCAGCCCGATCCGTCATATGGTTCTAGAGAGTAGTGTTTGTCGACCAAGTGCATGAAAGTGGGCTCGTGAAATAGTGGGAACATGCAGTTGAAGTTTTCAAAGTAGTCCTTGAGTAGCGCGTAGCATTCTTGTTTCCCTGGAAGAGGCTTGAAAATGCGTCGTTCGAAGAGGTCGTTAAACACTTCCGGTTTCCAATGATCCCAGCCAGTCTTATCCTCGACCGAAGCGTGTGCGATCATAGCTTGGAAGCTATTGTCCCCAGTCTTCTCGTTGACCCACTGAATGCCCTTGGGACTGAATATACTGAAGCCGGAAGAAGATCCGATGTACCGTGTCTCGCCAACATTGTTGGTGATGAGACTACACATTTGATCTGCGAGCGCATCAACATCCTGAGCATCCTTTCGAGAGACATCCGTCGACCGTCTGACCGGATCCGGAGAGGAAGAATTACCATTGCCATTGTATGCGGTCGGGCTTGCGGTATTCGCTGTAGCCGTGCTCTCCAACGATTCATTCTGGGGAGGCGTATTTGTATCCTTGCCATTGGCCCCGCTAGCCTGCCGAGTTGATGAATGTGTCGACTGTGGGCTGGCAACATTACTCTTTGACGTCTTTGACTGTTCCGCCAGTCTCTTCTCCAGTGTGCCCAGATCTGTCCGACCACCATCGTCTTCAGCCAATAGTCCAGAGAGTCGCAACAGATTCTCCATCCGACCGAGTCGGTTTTCTAGCCCTTCGATGTACTTGGCACCTTTCGGCGGAGCGCGCTTCTTTTCGACGTGAGTGAAGACACATTCGGTTTTGTAGTTCTCGCAATGGCTGCATCTACAATGCCGCGTTAGCAGCCGCTCCTAAAAATATTCACCTTGGCTGAATTTAGAAGCAATCGCATCTAGCACCGCGAGCGTGTGTTCCACTCACTTGGGCATTTTCCTGCGACAGTTAGCATGTATTCTATTCTGCATGTGCGCCAACCTTACCCGTCACACTTTATCTTCTTCCTTCGACACATGTCGCATGCTCTTGCTATCCTTCTTCGCTTGGGATCCCGCTGGTCGCCGCCCTCGGCATCGTGATCTGCGGTACCATCTTCGCCATTGGCATCTTGGTCGAAATCGCCGTAATCGTTCTCGCCCTGGAACCACTGCGCACCATTGGAGCCTGCTGTCATGTTCGCCATGTTGGGTGAGCCGTCATAGGCGCCGCCGCCGTAGAGTTGTGTTCCGGGAGCCATAGGGAGAGGTGTAGGGTTGTTGCTGTTTGGTTCCATGGCCAGGCTCCAGCGACGTTCATGCCACTATGCGCACGAGGGCGCCACCGGGTAGCGGCGGAAGTGTGGTCGTGGAATGGAGAGAGGGGAGGGGAGGGGGCGGAGGAGTAAGGTGTAGCGGCGTCGAAGCTTTTTGGTGCGGTGTCTCTGGAAGTTGCGACCACGATGACTTGATCTGACTACTGACGACTGCCTCAGTAGATTCCTAGCTTAGGCCCGGCGGGCGGAACGCTAGGCCTGGACCGGACGACCTAGACAGTGTACTGGGGTGCCTGTTTCGCAGAGGATTGTGCGTGTCTGCAGGATGGGAGGTGCGGAGGATGCGAGTGCGTCATGGCCAGAGGCGCTGTGCTGCGCTGCGGCAGTCCATGATGGCGATGCGATGCGGTGCGATGCGCACTCCCCCCCGCCAGCGCAGCACCGAGTCGCTGACAAACACCGCTGCGTGGGCGATGATCGCATCCGATTCTTCCACGCTCCCAGGTGCGCATGCTGCTGGCCGTGCGGGAAGTTTCCAGGATCCCTCTGGCCAGTGCGCGCGCTCCTGGAGCGAAATGGGAGCGGACTTTCAAACAACGTCCGCTGCGCGCTCTCAGGCACCCACCACCCACGCGCTGTTGTCTGTCTTTCTCTCCCTGCTACTCCTCGCCCACCGACTTCTCCTTTGGCTCACCGGACATGGCCGCGCGCTCGCTGTCGTGCGCGTGTTGCTTGGCACCGTATCCTCTCCAGAGCCTCTCTCTGCCGTACCTCCTGGATCCAGGCCGTCCGTGGTCGCCCGCCTGCATCGGCCGGAGATCGCACATAGCAGAGTCCGACCTTGCCCTGTCATCGCGCCATTGCTGTCTTATCGCCGGTCCAGTGGGAGGAGGAGGTGTCCAGTAGTCGCCGCAGACAACAGCGCAGAGTCTTTGGTCAGGCTCTTTGCGCGACGAGGAAACATGGAGAGGCGCATCTTAATAGACCCCCGCGCTGCCCGGATGCGACTGCTCCGGCCGCTTCATCTCTCCAGACTTCGGTAGATTTATTCTCACGCGCACCCCAGCACCTTCGCTCCTGTGCAGGGCAAAATTGCCTCCTTGATGCTAGTCGCGGCCGCGTCCCGCACTTGTACACTGCATAGCCAGCTGTGAGAGTGAACAGCATCCTATGTACCCAGCTACTCGAGCCATGCATGTCAGTGTGTCACCAGCATCGCACCGCTACCTCTTCGAGCGAGCTATCAATATGGAGGCTCACTACTACATGCGCCGCGAGCTCTCACTAGCGCCTGGACATCGATTCGAAGTCTTGATTACAAAGTATTCTTTTCTCCGAAGACATCGCATGTTTTCTGCATCTCAGTCTGCCCCCAGACAAAATTGTTACCACATGTATCTCTCTGAGACAAGAGACAGCTGAACACGTGGAGAATAATCTCAATTTGTAGTAGCGGAGTTCATTGCTGATGATTAATCTACAGCAGCCCTTGGCACAGTAACGTCGAGCAGTGCATGTACCTTATGCTCACTGACTCCACAGACATGCCTCTAATAGATCAACGTCGACTCCCCAAGTCATGCAAACCCCACTGCGCCGGCTCACATCTTTCCTACTCTTTACAGCCATGTACAAAAGGACGTCTTTTTCCCAAAATCGGTTCTATATTGCTCTACCACTTCTTGCTGGCCTCCTCTAGCTCTTGGTACAGTGCTGGAGCTGGTGGTGCAGGTCCGGCGCCAGGGAGGGGTGGAGGCGAGCTACCGCCGTCCGAATCGCCTATCCCACCAGGCGTCCCGCTAGAAGGCTGACCAGGCGTGGGTCCAAGAGGTTTGTTGTCGCCGCTCCCGGAAAAGTACTTGGAGAACTCCCCAGGGTCAGCCCATGGACGCTTGCCGAGTAGACGAACCATGTCGTCTCTGTCAATCATTTCCTTTTTCAAAAGCTCCTCCGCCACGAGGCCGACCTCGTGCTTCTTCTCCTCAAGTAATTGTCGGCATTGTTTGTAGGCTTCGTTCACGATTCGCTTCACTTCCGCATCGATATTCTGCGCCGTCTGCTCGGAGAAGGGCTTCTGAAGTTGTGTTTCTTGTGTCTCGCCGCTGTCGGGATAGTAGATGTATCCGAGATTTGACATTCCCCATTTCGTCACCATGGCAGTTGCCATTCGCGTGACTTTGTTGAAATCGTCACTAGCTCCCGATGTGACGGTATCGAAGTGCAATTCTTCGCTGACTCTCCCGCCAAGTGTCATGGCCATACGATCCATGAGTTGCTTGACGTTCATGAGAACAGCATCGTTGCCTCCGCCTGGCAAGTACTGAGCATAACCCAGGGCTCCAGCGCCACGTGGGATGATGCTGACCTTGAGAAGGGGGTCGGCCCACTGGAAGTACCACCCACAGATGGCGTGGCCAGCTTCGTGGTAAGCGACAGTCTTCTTCTCCTCGGGCGTGAGTACAAGGGACTTCTTCTCAAGACCTCCAATCACACGCTCGATGGCCTGCTCGAAGTGTTGCATAGTCACAGAGTCGGCTGCAGCTCGGGCAGCAACAAGCGCTGCTTCGTTGACACAGTTGGCGATGTCAGCACCCGCAAATCCCGGAGTGAGTGCTGCCAGACGACCCTTGAGGTGCTCGATATCCTCATTGGTAACAATGCTCTTCAGATGCACCCCGAATATTTGCTTTCGGCCATCCATGGTCGGCCTGTCGATGGCAATGTGTCTGTCAAAGCGCCCGGGTCGCATGAGCGCTTTATCGAGAACATCCGCTCTGTTCGTACCGGCGAGCACAACCACTTGTTCTGAGGTGTTGAATCCATCCATCTCCGTCAGAATTTGGTTCAGCGTACTCTCTCGCTCGTCATTGCCACCACCGAAAGACTGCTTGGCACGTGCCTTTCCGATGGCGTCAATTTCGTCGATAAAGATGATGCAAGGTGTGTTTTTGCGGGCGTTGGCAAACAGATCTCGCACACGACTTGGGCCAACACCAACAAACATTTCCACGAATTCAGATCCCGACACGGAGAAGAATGGTACGCCACTTTCTCCGGCAGTGGCCTTTGCTAAGAGCGTTTTACCGGTTCCAGGAGGCCCAGAAAGAATGGCACCACGTGGAATCTTTGCACCGAGCTTCTGGAACCTGGCCGGGTCTTTGAGGAAACCAACGAACTCCATGATCTCAGTCTTGGCCTCGTCCATGCCGGCAACATCGGAAAACTTGACTTTGATGTCTGTCTCGTGGTTGAATTTCTTGGCTCGACTGCGACCCATGCCAAAGATTCCACCTTGCCCACCACCCGCGCCTGACGCAGCTCTTCGAGACATGTACGCGATAGCGCCGATGAAAAGTAACGTAGGTCCAAATCCAAGGATGATGTTCGCCCAGCTGCCCTCCTCGTGATAGGAAATAGGTATCCTCTCTGAACCGGGTATCCGCAATTCATTCTGAGCTTCATCGACTCGTCGCTCGAACGCCTCTACTGAACCGATGCTGAAGTAGTAGTAGAAACCTTGTTGTGCAGCTGGCGACTCCGGATACATTGCTGCCACGTTGTCGCGATGAAGATAGACACGAACCCTGTTGCCATTGACGACGACCAGCTTTTCAACCAAGCCCTTGTCGAAGAAAGTATTCCTGAACTCCTGCCAGGTGATTTCTCTGCTGTTCTCGGTAGGCATCACGAGTCGGTATAGCATGTATGCGACGAATGCAGAGACGAGGAAATTCGAGAGATCGAGCTTCACTTCAGTGACTTTGCCGAACGGACTTTCGCCTTCCTGTTTTCCCTTCTTCTTGCCACCGTCTTTCTGCCCACTCGATCCTGCCGGTCCCGGCTCATCTGATGTCTTTTGCTTGGGCTCCGTGTCCTTCTCGTTCACAATATCCTCAGCTGTCTGTCTCGCAATGTGCGTCGTGAGTCGCCACAGCTTAGCAGCACGTGCAGGAGACATGCCCTCCTTGGACACCTCAGCTATTGTCTCACGCAACTCTGTTGGCAAACCCTCTTTCTTGATCTTCTGCAGAGCCTTATCGATGTCCTCGGCCATAGATGCAGGCATGCCCTTCTTCACTAGCGCAAAGGTGTCCTCGAGCGCCTTCTCTTCGGCCGCAGTCAACTTGGACTTGCCGTCTTCTGGTTCCTCAGGCTTTTTCCCTGGTGGCGGCTGCGGATTTGAAGACAGTGGCGATCGCTGTGAGTACAGGTCCTCAATGCCCTTGGGTGAGGCGCCCGGCTTGCCCTCAACGTGTTTGCCATCCTTGTCCTTCTCTGTTGAATACTGTCGACTTCGAGCATATGCGTATAACGGCCGAGGAAGCGACGCAGGTCGTTGAGCTAGCGCGCGCGATAATGAAGCAGCCTCGAGGAGCTGTCGAGACGAGCGCGCAATGGTTTGCGGCCGTCGGAGGAGCACTCCCGACATGGGCTGCGGTGCGCTACAGAAGGAGATGGCGGAGGCCGAGGTTGATGCTATGGCGCGGGCACGACCATGCACAGTGGTACCGGGGATTCCAGTTGAACGGGCGGCGGAGGGTGTTGATAGTTGGTCGATCGGAAGATGAGGCAAAAGGTCAAGGCAAGGCATCTATGATGACGAGACGGAACAGCGGCGACAATCTGTGCCAAGCTCTGCAGAGCCGCAACTCTCTCCCGACTTCACCTACATCTTGACGCGTTCGACACGCACACGCAACCTTCCCTACATGTCCCCTCCTCCATCGTCATGACTACATTTCAGCAGAACCGTCAAATGAAAGCAGAGAGGTGGCTCAGAGAGCATCGTCGTAACAGCGAAGTTGTACAGAGCTCTTGCTGAGGTATTTGAGATGATGCTCCTCGCACGCTGCTTTGAGTCATCTGAAGGGTGTTGCCAACAATGTTCAAAGTAAACATACTGAGATTTATTTTGCCGAGAGTACTGTACGCTTGAACGCGTTCACTAATGCAGGAAGCCCATAACACCCCATGAACGATTGCAACCCGCCCCCAAGCGCCGCCATGTTCTGTCATTGCCATGATTCGGGACACATCCAACCATGCAAACCCTAGAGTCCCAAAGAGCCTCCAGAAATACGAGATCCCGATCCCCAAAACACAAGAAAAGTTCGCGTAGCGCCGCGCCTGTAATGTTTAATGTTTCCCGATCCCCATAACCACAGCGTTCTCCCCGTCAAATTACCGCCTCTTCACAAATGGAGAAGGCATCATATCTTCCAGGATGGCTGGGTTGCCGATCCACTTGGCCGGACTCTGTGGCACTGATGCCCCGCTGAGCTCCACCAATGTTCTACCTCTGACGGCAGGCCTGACATTCTCCTTCTCTGCTGCAGCACTGAAGATGTTTCGCTTCAGTGGCTCGCCCGTCAAACGTTCTTGGAAACCCTTGCGAGGTGAGATAAAGCCTCTCATGTGCGTCGGTGCCGGCGAAGGGTCGGCCATATGAACATCCATAGGGCTGTCTTTGGCGATGTTGTTGCAGTTGGCGAAAGTCTTCGCGCGCACGAACGGCTTGCGCTCGCGCTTCTTCGGAGGTGGCTTCGTGCGATTTGCAAGAGGCGACACAATGTCATCCTGCGCTTCTGCAGTTTCGAGAGCATCGTTGCCGAGGGAGAGAGATGTCAGGTCCTGTTCAATGATGGATTCATCGAGGTCAGGCAGTGACGATGCATCTGTGTCTGGCAACTTGCGCTGGAAGTTGTTGAGACTGGCAATGTCTCGGCGGGCGGGAGGTGGTGTGGAGGATCGGATGTTGTGCGTATAATTCGACGACTGGGTGGCCGTTGAGGGCAGGCTTGCCAGATGAAGTGCCAGCTTCTCTTCCGCTCGCTTCTCGACCGCTGCGTCGAATTGACTAAGGAGCTCTGCTTTGTTCTTTTCGTGGGCTTCGTGAACTTTCTGATCGATCGCCAAGGTTGCACGCGCGTGCCATTCCATCTCGACCTTCTTGTTCGCCTCGCGAAGCTTGCTTACTTCACATTGCAAATCTTGTATTTGTTTCTGTGCGGCTGCGAGCTTGGAGAAGGCAGAATCGCGATCAATTTGTAGCTTGCCCAATTGGCCCAAGGCTGAGGCTTGTTCCAGACGCGTGCGGGCGACCTTGATGTTGGCAACGCCAAGCAGTTGCGCGCAGTCAGGTCGCTGGCGTGGATCGGTCTTCAAGCACCAGGAGATGACGTCCGTAAGGTCCTGGCTGTACTGTGTTGGCAGAGGCTTGATATATCCCTTCTTGATCTTCAAAACAAGCTCCATATGGCTGCGTGCTTCGAAAGGCACTTGGCGTGTTGCAAGTTCGTAAATGATGCATCCCATAGACCAGATATCCGAGTGATGCGAGTATCGCTCTGCAGCACATATTTCCGGACTCATGTAGAATGGTGTGCCGACATAGGTGCTGGCGAAGTCATGAGAGGCGATGATCTTGGACAGACCAAAGTCACCAAGCTTAACACTGTTGTTTTCGCCGAGAAACACTAAATGGTCAGCAAGTGAGCAGGAAGTGAGGGAGTCGGAGGCATACCATTCTCAGGTTTGAGATCGCGATGCAGGATAACTGTGTGACCCTGCTTGCTTACGAGCGCCTTGCCCTTACGCACATTGCCTTCTTTACCAGCGGCCGGCGGGTCCTCTCCATAATGGCATCGATACAGCGCTCCCACGAGCTGTGCGAAGATTGCCCAAATGAACTCCTCATCGGCCATCTTGTTCCTCTCTTTCAACTTTCTGATGTAACCACCAAGATCTCCGTTACCGCAGTATTCCATATACAAGTGGAGGTCGTGTGATGACTTGAGGTGCTGGCGGTGGTAGTATTGTACGATGTTTGGATGGCGTAGCGATTCGAGGATGCGCAGCTCAGCGTGCAGTTGTTCCTTTTCGCGATCTGACATGCGGGTGTACGAGATCTCTTTGCGGCAGATGACCTCGCCATCCGCCTTTCTCCGCACCTTGCGGATGACTCCAAACGAGCCTTGCCCTATCTTCTCCAAGACTTCATAGTCGCTGTCGGTAGCCATGGCTGGCTGGTATTCCTGTAAGAGAGTATGTGGTACTGTGCTGTCTACAGTGTCGCAAGTCTAACAAGGAAGGGCTGTTGGATTAGTATGAGCATTAACGAGGCGCTCGCAGAGTTCAGCTGTACATGTGCAGTAGAGGTGCAGTCTGATCAGACATGGCATTCGAAAGGTCAAGCCTGTTCGCAGAGCTTAAGGAACTGTTGACAGAGCCGTTGCTACGTAGCAACGGCTCGCTTAACCCCAGCGCATGCGTGCGCCAAGACCATGCGGCTCAATGCCGACATTCGCCGGTCGCACGTCGATGGCACGGTCTTGACGCGTACAAAGCACTACGGGCGTGCTCCCCATCACTGTCGGTCATTATTCAGGCATCAAGCAGGCGAAGCCACATCAGCTGCCTTGCGCTACCCTGCGGACGAGGTTGTCGAAGGGACGGGGCGACGTGATCTGACAACCATCCGTCGCTACAGCGCCACCCGCACAGCGACCCGATGCGCTGGGATCTCGGATCTAAATCTAATCTAATCAATTGCGAACAGAAAGTCTGTGCTGTGACGTCTTGCCACCCTCTCGATCCAGACTTCACTTTTGCATTCGACCCCATATATTGCACGCCTTCCTGGTGCGAGAAGCTACCATGGCTGATTCACTGCTTGGGAAGCATCAGCTGGAAAAGGCTCTGTACGACGAGAAGCAGGAAATCTCCTCTGGCCGACTCAAGGACGAGAATCCTCTTGACACCAGCCTCGAGTTCCGGAAGTTCTGTGAAGCATGTCGAAGAGGCGACCTTCGAATTTGTCAAGAACAGATCAGCAAAGGTGTCAATATCAATGCTCGAGATGAGTACGATTACACGCCTTTGATTCTTGTAAGTCCTCTATCCTCTAGAACCCGTCACCTGGGCTGATTGCTGATGAGGCGGGTTGAGGCGTCACTATGTGGCCACTACGAAGTAGCTCAAATGCTGCTGGAGCAAGGAGCTTTGTGTGAGCGCGATACCTTCCAAGGTGAACGATGTCTTTACAATGCCTTGAACGATCGAATTCGGAATCTCCTATTGCAATACGACTACAGTAAATCGACAGACCCTCTACAGCCCTTGGCAGCACATGTTACAAGCCTTTTGACGAGAGTGTCGCCCAAAACATCGGATATCACCGTCGAGGCTGGAACGGAGAAGTTCGAGCTTCACAAATTCGTTCTCAGTGCACGAAGTCCATATTTCGCCAAGAAGCTCGCTGCTGCACCCGAAACGACACACTGGAAACTGTCCAGTTCAATTGCACCTCAGTCATTCGAGACATGTATAAAGTATCTCTATCTTGCCGAAGTGGGTGCGGATCTCGGCGATGGAGAGGAGGCGCAAATCATCCTGACAGGCATCGACAAGCTCAGTCGCCAGCTGGAGATCGAACAGCTATTCCAGGACATTCTTGCATCCGGCGACCGAAGACAGGCTCGACAAAGGCGAGCTGAAGAAGTACAACGGAGCAGAGATCAACTTGCAGATTGGTTCGCCAACAATGTTCTCAAGCACAAGATGACAGTGGAGAGCGCGAAGGCAAACGACGTGAAGTGGGATCGAGATAATGGCATTTTTGCGGATGTGCTTCTTCGTGCCGATGAAGATGAAGATGTCGAAGGAACAGATACGCCATCAATGGAACAAGATGTGCGGCGGAAAGAAGGTCCTCTCAACGGCATTCCAATTGGCAACTTCCAACGTCAAGCCTCCCGAGCCTCATCACAGGCACGAAAATCGAGGCGATCAGTGCTATTTCCCTGCCATCGAGCCATGCTGCTGCGATCCGAGGTTTTCGCAACCATGTTCGCTTCGCCCTTCCGAGAAGGTCAAGAATCGAAGCACTTGCAGATTGTACCAGTGGACTGCTCGCCCGAAGTCCTCGAGATTATCCTAACGTTCATGTATACTGAAAAAGCAGACTTCACATTATCGATCGCACTGGACGTACTCAATGCCGCAGACATGCTATTCATCGACAAATTGAAACAGCGAGCAGCGCTATTGATCAGCACTTTAGGCGCAGGCGCCAGTGTTGTCGAGGCCGACAATCCGAGAGGAGAGACCGAGGCGGAAGATCTACTGGACATTTACGATGTGGTACGAGCAGGATGGGATACCCGCGTACACCGTTTAGAGGAGTTTGGTGCGAGATACATCGCATACCGACTGGAACGGTACATTGACGAACCGGAATTCAGAGAGCTCGTGCAGGAGTCGGCGAATCGGATCAAATCTCGTGAGGAGACAGATACTGTTGAGCTCATAGATGATATCCGCTACTATCTGTCAGAACGCTTCCGCCTTCGTTTTGAGGATACTGGTTTCGACGAGACCTTCGACGAGTCGCCCGCAGACGATTTGAGAGAGGGCATTGAAAAGCTCCACATTGACGAAGGCGTCGATGTTGATACTCCAGTACAGGCCGGACAGAGTGCAGAGAATATGGAAGGGCAGGTCGTCATTCGAACATTAGATGGAGAAATTGCAGGTGACGAGTTCGCGCAGGATGCTATGAATTATCAAATCTTACTGGGAAAGATAGACACGCTGATGGAGAATTTGGGGCTGGATGGCTAGAGCTATGAATAGATGCTTTGCCCATGAGCCTAGATTTTGACTTGCCGCCGGACAGTGGCGTTCTCAAAAGCTTTGCTCCTCCCATCCTGATTGTGGCACGGATATTATGAGCTGATTTTGATTTGCGACCATGCCGGAGTCAGCTCGAATGTGAATACGGACTCAAGAAATGTGCCCTGTGGGAATCTCTTGCTCCCAGAAAATGGAGGGAAAAGACCTCGCTGAGAGACAGCAGCGGCGCGATGCTTGGCAGAAGGAGAGGGTAGTCACCGCTCATCAATTGAGCCTCGGGCTAATATCACGCCCATAAGAGTTCTCCGGGGATTGACTGCCTTCCGCCGTTCGTGGCCCAGATGTCCGGGTGTAACATGGAATTGTTGCAGCATGGCTTCCTCCCGACACCCTTTCGGCGCAGGACGTTCGAAAGTGACGCTACGTTTTGGGGCGCTTTCGTCTCGAAACAGAAGCTGTCTTGTTATCATACCCCGGATGTGCAGTCCGATGTGGTGACGAGAAGTTGGTGACGTGAATCGCTTCCTGTGGTGTGTATGACTGGATGCCAACTTGTTTCGGAACTTCCGCAAAATATGGCGTCGTTCCAGTTTCGGCGCTCATTAGTGCATCGAGCCAAACAATTAGCTGTATAGTGGTTGCTGGTAGACCAAGATTCGCGAGACCTCCACGCATGTTGATCATCCTGTTATATTGTCAGTCAACGTAAATACGCGCGAGAGCATTAGCTCATCACTCACCGCAGTTGGGCAGGACGGTGCATTGTGTGGGCAAGCTCGCGATTGCCATAAATGTGCTCATGTAGTGCTATACGCCCAACAGCGAGAATGACTGGAATGGATGTTGCGCGCTCCGGATCTGCCAAGGCTTCTTGCATAGCCTGCACTGTCTTGTGTCGGAGCCACAGTGCTGCCTGAACTGGGAAGAGCCCTTCAGCTACGGGAATCCCACTGGCAAGGAAAAGTGAGGTGTAGAATAACACTGGCTCACTCAGCTCCTGCTTACGAGACCAAACGGTGTATGATTGCAATTCCGTTGGCGAGGCTTTGATCACTCGTGTCGAGCGAGGCAAGACCACATTGTACCAGTAGCTGATCAGCTTCCCGTACCAGTTTCGATATCGTACGGGATATGTCAGAAATGGATCCCGCATACTCGCGTCCATGGAGGTCAGATCAGGGAGGTACATCTCGAAGTTTGCAGGAGACAATGAACGATCGCTGCCAGTCGGGGACGGTTCGCGTCTGATAGGGAGCGTGGCTCTTTTTCGTCTCATGTTCGCTTGTACGCCGCCATCCTCGATATCGCTCGTGTCTGAATGCTCTCTTGCGCGCTTAGTGGCCTTGTGCGTTTCGCTTGACTCCTTTGAACTCGCTTCGAGAGAGGATAGTGTTGATGTCGAGCTCGAAGATCCACCTTGGCTGGCACTCTTCAACAGTCGCAGGTTGACCTCGGTTTTCATTGCGCCTCTGGGAGCAACACGGTGGGAGTAGGCCGTGGCTTTGCTCCTGATGAGCTTCCGAGAAGTCTTCTTTTGGTTCTCATCGTCTCCATAGTCAAAGTTGACAAAGACAAAACCTGGGTTCTCACTTGCTTGCTGCTGCGCAAGGCGTGTCGAGGTTCTGATCTGCTCCTCATCATAATCGGAGTTGGCCTGCACGAAATTGACCTTGTCGCTCATTGGAGTTGAGGGGGAGAAATTGCTCCGGAGATCCAGGAAGGCGCTTGGCAGTAGGCTGGTGGCAGTCAAGGCATTGCCGCCAGTGTCAACCAGCGTGACGAGAGTGTCGCGTGTCGAACTTTGGGTACGGAGCTGGCCGCTTTTGCTGCTGTTGTTGGGATATGTCAAAGAATGGCCTGGACGCTACTCGGAGCGACGAATTCGCATGCTTCGTGGTTCCGCTCCAGCAGAGCCGGAATTCGAGCCGTGGCTGCCCTTGTGCTACTGCGTGTTGTTGGTGGTGGAGCTTGTGGAGTTGCGGCGGAGGAAGCAGAAAGCGACTTCTTTTCTGCGCTGCGCACCGCGTGAAGGCATATACAGTGCCTGACGCGCCCGCCGTCCATCAATGCGTCGATGCTGCAATGATCAGCGTCGACCCTCCGGCCCCGCAGCGGTGCACAACAGCGCCGAATGACGCCGCAGCCAGCGGATTCCTTGGCCCGAGGTGACGATGAGCTGTATTGCCTCTCGCTAGAACTATTCCGACCTCACCTCTCTCTCTCCCAGCCTACACAGCCCATAACTCACCGCCTTCCAGACCTGCTCCACCGCAAAATCACACCGTGTATTGCATTGATGCCCACCGTGCTCGGGAGCCGTCGCGATTGCCTCCGCGGACGAGCACTAGCGACGCCACGCCTTCTCGCTTGCTCGCTGTGCACCTGCACCACTTGCCACGCCTGTGCGAGAGTGCAGTCTGCGTTGGGCTGTAGGATGGCGGCGGAATCTCAAATGCATGCAATGATACAGAACCACGTTCGGACATAGTCGGTCTGGAAGAGGACGTCGGCTCGGTCCTTGCAAAAATCCGACCGGTCTAACTAGATCCTTGCACGCACTTCTCGACTCTCCAGCATCGACAGTGAGTTAGGCAATGTCGCATTTTCTGATTGTGGAAGGTGATATGGGGAAGTATCGCAGGCCCCCGATGGAGCGAGTTCTATCAATACATTACCGATCTGTACCACGATTTCTATTCCTATGTACAACATGTTCGCTCAATGAGCACCGCCGAAAACATCATCCAGTCGAGAGATTTCTGCTCGTCTATTCGTGTGGAAGAGACTGCGCCTAGCAAGCAGTAATGTACACACCGACTGGTGGCTTGTTGGCATCCTCACAGAAGTCCATACCAAGGCCATCCTTGCTGCTTGTCTCAATCGTGACAGTCTCGCCGGCCTGGCAAGGAGCGGTGCTGACGACGTAGCTGTTTCCAGGCTTAGGAGCAATCGTTCCGAGGCATTGCTCCTTGGATGGGCAAGTGTCATAGGTAGTCTGGCCGTTGACAGCGCCGCTGAGCTTGTTGAACTCAATGCTACCCTGTTCGTTCCACGACCACTTGGACTCATCCTCCTCTGGGAACAGGAAAACGACGCTGCATTGCTTGCCCTTGTAATCAGCTGGGATGTCAAAGTTGAAGACAGAAGAGCACTCGTCGTTGATGGTAGCGTTCTGCTTGCTTCCATACGAAGTTGCTGGGTGGTCCTCGCTAACCCAGGTGATGAGCTTTGGAGCCTGGTAGGATCCCTCGAGCGTAGTTCCGCAAGATCCTGGGGTCGAGGAAGTAGGCGATGCAGGTGTGGTCGAGGTGGACGAGGCAGAGGTGGAAGAGCCAGGAGTGGACGAGGCAGAGCTAGATGGCGTCACGACGACCGTGGACTTGACGACGGAGGTCGATGGCGTAACGGCAGTTGTGGATGAAGCAGAGCTATATGGCGTGACGACAACTGTTGACTTCACAACAGAGGTGGAAGGGGTGACAACTGCCGTGGATGAGACAGAGCCAGATGGTGTGACGACAATCGTGGACTTGACAACAGAAGTGCTTGCAGCTGGCTTCGTCGCACTGGATGTGGACTCAGTGGCCCCGTAATGAGGAGGCTGCTCGGGGCTGGATGGTGTGCTTGGCTTTGGCTGGGTTGGCGAGGTGGAAGCCGAAGCGGTGGAAACGGTGGCGCCAGGAGTTGAAGAGGTAGAGGATGATGTCGTGAGGTAATAGCAGCCATTCTCCAGCTGGCAAGTCTGACCTGCTGGGTAGCCTTGATGGGCAGGGTTGCAGCTGTAACGGCCCATGCTGTCGGTGCTACCAGGAGCCGGGCACGATGCTGACTGAGATGGAACAACACTCGTCACAGTGCTAGAGGTCTCAACGGGACTACCTGGGGTCGTTGTGGTTTCAGTGCAGGTAGTCTCGCTTGGCTGGTGTGGCGAGTTTGGAACGGTACCGGTAGAAGAAGAGGAAGAGCTCTTGTCGCCATATGGCGGTGGGGCAGGGTGGCTGCTGCTGCTTGGCTTGACGGGCGAATTTGGCGTGGTCGCGGTCGAGCTGCTCGGAACACCACCATATGGTGGTGGAGCGGGAATGCTGGTAGTGATTGAGGTGCTTGACGAGGCGGAGTGCACGGGCGAGCTCTCAACCGGGACGCTTTGCTTAGGAGTGCCAGACGTCGCTGGTGGGATCTGGGACTGAGGCGTTCCCAGAGATTGGGATGGGCCAGGAATGATGGACTGAGGAGTTCCAACAGAGTGTGTTGGTCCTGGGACGTAGGATTGAGGAGTACCCAGGGAGTGCGTTGGTGCAGTTGGATGGTTGGGGAGCGACTGAGTCTCGCTGCAGACTTCGTGGCAATCACTGGTGTACAGCGTAGTCGTCACAGTCACAGTGACATCAGTTGGCACAACTGGGCTTGAGGTGACCGGAGTGCTGGCAGCAGGTGGAACTCCATAAGCTGGAGGTTGTCCATTTCCTGGCGGCTTACCAGACGCCGGCGGCTGGCCGTTGCCTGGACCGCTTGGGGTTTCTCCTGGAGGTTTTCCGTAGCTTGGAGGCGAGTTTGGAGACGACGGAGTAGAAGGCTTTGGCTGCTCGCCGGCGGGAGGCTGTCCATAGCTAGGGGGAGAGTTTGGCGAAGACGGAGACGAAGGCTTTGGCTGCTCGCCGGAAGGAGG